AACCTTTATCTTCACCATTTTCGTTATTACTGAACTATGGATGCTTTCCGAACGTGAATTTCTAACGATAACGCAAGTTCTTTCAGATTTTATTAAAATTAATCCTTATTTGACTCAGACAAATTTACACAGGTTACTCATTCAGGTAATAGATAAGACCGTTATCTCAAATAACACATTGCTCAGCGAGCAAACATCCCTACAAGAACAGTGACAGTCATCTGACTGGTTATATGACAGTCACAGCTGAAAAAATTTTGTCTGCGCCCAGAACAAAGTTTCTATCATTTTCTTAAGAGCCTTGTGCAAAAACTGATGTAAACAAACGTATGTGTGTGAGTTTTCACCTCTCTTTAACACATGTTTTTTTCTGAGTCATTGCTGACCATAAATCTATCATAGCTGAAAATTTTTAGTTATGACTGAAACGCTATCATAGCTGCAATTTGCCAGTTATGACTGTAAATCTATCACAAGTAAAAAATTCTTCTGCGCAGTGTATAATATAATTTTTATTTCTTTAATAAATTCAAAACTTTTAATTAAAATTAGCTATAATAATATACATAAATATAAAAAAAGAGTGTAACAAAAATATAATTAAATAATAAATTATGAAAAGAAATGTTCACTTAATTCCATGCTTGCTCCTATCAAAAGCTCTGCTGTACGTATTTCTCCAGTTCATGAACATTTCGGCATTTTTAATGCCTAAATAAAAATGAAAATTAACTAAAAATATAACTTTATTTTAAACTTTATAATAACTTACGTATATTATATTTTAAAACTCCTTCGTTATTGATTTATTTTTAATAAAACAAAAATTGTTATTGCACAGAAGCACGCAACACTTTTGGTTTATCGCACGAAATAACAGCTACATAGGTATTTCACAACTTCTCGAAACTTCTATGGAAATGTATGTTGTCTCCTTTGGATGTATACAGAATTTGCTTTTGGAAAAATCGTAAATATTGACAGTCATTTTACTGTTCATTTGACTGTCAGTACTGACATAACAAATGTGAGTGTATTGGTGAACCTATCAGCAGTTTCTTGTAGGGATAATTATGTATGTATGTATTTATATTATATATTTTTAATTACAATAATATAAATTAGCTTCATGACATAATTACCGTTATAGTAACCAACGCAGCATTCAAATTGATAACCTCTTTTGGTAAAAACAATTAAACTCGGTTTTATTGCTTTGCAGTCTTTAGTGACGATTCGAATATTTTTTATTGCACAAATCTTCGGTTTCGACTGAAGTAGTAGTTGTTTCCAGATGTGGTTACTGCTTAAATAATGATTGCTTATATACTCGTGGCGGTTCACGCGATATTAAATAAAAATTGAGATATCTGCTCTTTCAACTATAGGAAGCACTGACCTGCTCACGATTTTCTGTGACTCGTAACAGGTTATAGCCATAATTCCTTCGGTCTTCACCGCCAACATGAGAAATTTAGAGAATATTATACTTGTATTCGTAACATTTTCTCTCTCGATAATACATCCCTGTTTCCTTACATTATATGTGAAAGCAACGGAAAAGTTATTTATTGCTTGTTCGTTTCACTACTTTCAAAATTTCAACAATTCAAAGACATAATGTTATGTTGCCTTCATATATTTTTGAAGGATTTGCAATGTTTTCTTGTAAGGTTTCTGGATTTATTAACTTAGTAACTAATCAAGTGAATTTAGTATAATTTGTATTCTATAAAAAATATCCCTTTAAACAGTAATGTTCAAAGGTAGATAATATGTAATCTCAAGATAGATGAATTGTTCTTTCACTCACTAGTATTATCGCCACTTGGATCATACATTTTATGTTGCATCGATGTAGCTAACGAATTTGGAAGGGTAGAGCCCTAGAGAGTAAGAGAACCGCAACAGATAAAAATTATAATTGCAGTGACAAATTGAAAGCTGATAAAAATGTTCTCTAAAAAGTTTTGAGGCCCTGTGTTATACCTAAAAACTTTGGGAAAAATTATATATACCATATATAAAATGTGGCAATGAACTAATAGATGAGTCCTTAAGCGAACCAGGGAGAGTAGGTCTCTTGCAGATTCTCAACAAGCTTTTCCATGACATTTACAAATTTTTCTACTTTCTCGTCTTAAAGCTCCATAAATTATTCTCAGAAGGGACCGGAGTCTATTGCTGGTTGTTCGGTTAGTCGAAAACCTTTTAAAAGGCTTGATTCATTGGGAAGCATTCATTACCATCAAATACCAACCAATGTACGATTTTTCTCGATTCGTATTTTTTAAATGCACTAAGGAAACTTAATTTAATTTAGACTTAAGGGTCTATATGCAGTTGACAGTAAGAAAAATGCGTTTTTTTTTTTTTCGAAGAGTCATTTTATTCCTCTATTCCCGTTGCCTTCAGGACGACCTCCGAAAAAATGTTGATTTTTGACAAATGGGAGGGTTTCCACAAAAAATCGCTTTTTGCGAAAAAATGTATACTTCGGGGTGGCTTAATTATCGATATTATTATTAAAAATCGTATTTCTCGATATTCACCTGACAAATATATGTAAGATGGTCATGTGAAAATTTCAAGGTGATAGGTCCAACCGTTTCGGAAAAACTTTCTACACCGACTCTGAAAACAGCATTTCGAGAAGGTTATTACAGATACGCTCATATTTCCGAAACTATTTGCCGGATCAACTTAAAATTTTCGGATAATATTCTCCAATATATATACATTCAATATAAAATCGATGTTTTGAAATTAACAAGTGGATATATCCCCTTAAAATACAGCATGCTTTATTGAACATATTGGGTCTTGTATTAAAATTCTGGGAGACATGTTGAGTTCCTTTATTTGCTTCAAGAATAAACAGACGGATTTTTGTTCGAAGTGTCAACATGCATATGTCTTTTACAAATATTTCCATACAAAATAACGTACATTTTCCAAGTTTTCAAAACCCTAACACAGAATGTTGATTCACATTTTATACACAAAATACCGAATCTAACGAAAGTTGGGAGAGTATTCCAACAATTTTTTTGCTTTTGTTTACATATCAACTGAACCGTCATCGTTATCTCGTTAACCTTATCAGGTGACGCGGTTAAGGGGCGTTGTGTTATGATTCAATATACGTTAATGTTAACTGATGTTCGTTTCTCCACTACGGGTTATCTCATATTTGCATGTATATATGTATATCTATTTGAGCGCGCTGATACTCGTATCTACCTTGCGCCAGAATCCGGCGCGCGCGCGTGAAATGAGCAGACGCAGCGCTTGATTCATAGGCGTCACAGGTGCGGAGTATACACAACAACAACTGACTACTGTTGACTTACCGAATAACTCATTGCGAGACTGACTAACTGTCTTAATTGACTGTCTGACTGATGGATGCCCATAAAAAGGGTGATGGCGGAGTGCTAACGCGTTAGCGAAACTGCGACGCTGCGACTCCAAACGCTTGCCAAACCATATTTGAGTGAGCTTACATTGTATTGTGCCGCAGCCAAAACAAGCCAAGCAAAATAAACTGCCACGACACTAATACGTAGCTGCATACGTGTTTGCGCCGTTGCCGCCGTTGCAGCGCCACCGCGTACGCCGCGCTCATCTCGCGCTCTGTGTACGAGCATTTTTTCGCATTAATTCGCGTCGCGCACATTATTCAATTTCATCTTTGATTACTTTTATTTCACTTCGCGTTTTCTATTCAAGCGATAAACGTGTATTTATTTTTGTTTTAATTATTTTATTTTCGTGCGCAATAATACAGCCACATATATATTTATTTATTTTGTTCAATACAAGTTTGGCTTACGCTGACGCGTCGGATGACGAATGACGACGGCACTCGAACGGATACAGCTGTTGGGCGGCAAGTGCTACTACGATTAGCCCGTGAGCTGGTCTGGCTTGGCCATACCGCACTGTCATTGACTTTTCGTTGCAGTGTGCAGTGTGCAGTGTGCGCCGCGCGTCGACGTCTTGGTTACCGCCTTGCATGCCTTATTTTCGCGCTGCCATTGTGTTTAACGAAGGTGTTGCGCGTTTTTCCATCCCAGTTTGTGTTTGGCTATTTTTCTTCGTTTTCTGGCTTTCAAATCGAAACTCGGATTTGTTTATGCAAACGCGCGCCATTATTTTTGTTGTTGTTGCTGTCGCAATCGGCGCGTTCGCCGCTGTCATTGCCGCTTTGAAAGCGGAATTCCGAAAGTAATTGCACATTTCGTTGCGTAGGCAAGTCCAAAGCGGGTGGCCGATCAACCAGCTGTGCCCATCGATAGCGGACGCGTCGCGTTGTATTAAATAAATTGTCAATCGCCGATTCGCATCGATTTGGTGGCTAATTGAATTAATTCACATCGACAAGCGCGTCAATTTCTTTCTAATCAACACAACGATCAACAAGCGACGAGTCGTGGAGGACAGCAACAAAAATGAGTTGCCTGCAGCTGCATTTGCTCAACATGGACGAGCGCATAACGCGGCTACGCAAGTTGCATAAACTCGAGAAATCCAATTCCTTACCATTGCATGCCACATTGGAGTTGGTGCCCGCGCCTAAGCCGAAGTCTAAGTCTAAGAAGAAAGTGACAGCGCACTTGGAGCGCGGCAAAAATGTCAGTGAGGCGTACAATAGCATTAACGGCAGCGATGGTGTTGGCGACGTGCTGCGCTTACAAAGCACCGATATGTTGGCTGAACTTGACGGCGTAAAGTGCGTGTGCCAGTGTACATACTAATATGGCCTTCAGCTGTATAGTAAAAATATAATGTGCCAATGTGCATAATATTAATTTGCATTCTACTATTATATTATACATATCTACTTATGAGCATACTTATGCATATTTGTAGACTTGTTGTTGTTTCATTACTTATTTATTACACGTAGTCTGCGTTAGCGTTATTGTATTGTATTTGTTTGTAATTGTGTTAATTACTTTGGCATTTCCTCAATTTCTTTTCTCTTTTTTTTCTAGTGAACCGCGCACAATCACCATACAAAAGGGTCCACAAGGTTTGGGCTTCAATATCGTCGGCGGCGAGGATGGTCAAGGTATATATGTGTCATTTATACTGGCTGGCGGACCCGCTGATGCTGGCGGCGAGCTGAAACGTGGCGATCAGCTCATGAGTGTCAATAATGTCAGCTTGAATAATGCTACTCATGAGGAGGCCGCTCAGGCGTTGAAGGTGAGTTCAACATTTTTTCATACTTTGTTTTGAAGAGTCGGGAATATTATACATATTTCTTACACATATGCGCGTTTTGATTATAAGTGGTAAATGGAAAATCATGCATACTCTAAAATTATTGTCACTATCTAACGAAGGAAGGAAAAAAATTTGAACTTTTTGTCAAGCTCCGTATTGAAACTCACCAGTGAGATACGCAGTTGTGGTTGTTGTAGACAGGAAAGAGTTTCGCAAGATATAAATTCTGGTTTACGGCGATTACGTAGGCAAACCTAGCTTCAAAAAGTTTTGCTAGGATGACAAAACCTAGCCGGATATATAATTCTGCGACCTAGTTAATGGATGAGCCGATGAAAGGGTTGATTAGCAATGCAAATGATGCCAAGTACCTCGAAGGCTGTCCGAAAAGTTCTAAGTGAAATCAAAGAGCTCTTGAATGCTGTATATGGCGACTGTTCTTCTTAGATAAATTGTAAAAATTGTTTCAACGGGTTTAAACGTAGACGCACTTTTGTTTTTGGTGATATACAAATGATCCATAATCTCATTTTTGTTGCTTACTCCGACCTACAAGTGCAACCTTGAAAACGCTTCGCTTTAGTGTATGAGGCTGCTTAAGTACAATCCGAAGAAGTTTCTGCGTCGTTGCGTGAACGTCAAAGTAAAATGAATCCGCTGGACACACCAGTTACCAAGTAACAGTAAAAACATTGGAATTCACGCAGCGAACCTGCTGCGAAGAAGCCGAAGACTGCTCCTTCATCCTGAAAAGTGATGCCCGACCACCGTTTTCTGGAATTCATAAATGTGAACTACATCGACTATGTGGATTAGGACAAAACGCTCCGAGGGTTCGAAGAAAAAAGTGCTTTTCCGTGCGCTGTTGGCAAAAATTAACGTGCCAGAAGCACGGGGTTTTGGAGGGTCGGAAACTTCTTCATATACCAATGAAAATTAAATAGTTTGTCCTCATTTTTAGATGTAAGGAAGTAACTATGACTGAAATTCATACCTTAACTGAAGTAATTAAAGGAAATGTTATTCTTGAACGGTTTGCTTTTTGAGAACTGTTAAACTCAAATATAGTTGTTGCTCAAATTGCTGAAAGATATCATAATTGCCAATATTGTCACAACCTATACATTTGTGGTCATATAAATTAACAACCCCGCGAACTCCCTCTCACTTCCCCCAAAAAATTTCGTAAGATCAATTTATGCGATTCTACCGTATCAAAAATGATGTATGTTTGTGTTTTCGGTTAATGATGGTGTTCCCCATTCTTCCATTCCACAGAGTTCCGGTGGTGTTGTGACATTGGTCGCTCAATATCGCCCCGAGGAATACAATCGCTTTGAGGCGCGCATACAAGAGCTGAAACAGCAAGCCGCGCTCTCGGCCGGCGGTACGGGCACACTGTTGCGCACCTCACAAAAGCGTTCGCTGTACGTGCGTGCGCTCTTCGATTACGATCCGAATCGTGATGATGGTCTGCCGTCGCGTGGTCTGCCCTTCCGCCATGGCGATATATTGCACGTGACCAATGCGTCTGACGACGAGTGGTGGCAAGCACGTCGCGTGCTCGGCGACAGTGAAGACGAACAAATCGGTATTGTGCCATCGAAACGACGATGGGAGCGAAAGATGCGCGCACGCGATCGTAGTGTTAAGTTCCAAGGTCATGCCGCTACTAATAATAACCTGGACAAGGTCAGTAATGAGGTACAGTAGCGCTAGATCGGTTGGAGTAGCCGTAGTTGTTGTAAATGTTAATATGTTTTTATTAAATTAAATTTTTTTTATTTTTTAAATTACTCCAATTTTCATGGACACTCTATTGGTGCAGCAATCGACGCTCGATCGAAAGAAGAAGAATTTCACATTTTCACGGAAATTCCCGTTCATGAAGAGTCGCGATGAGAAGTTGGGCGAAGATGGCAGCGATCAAGAGCGTAAGTAGCAACCAGGCTGTGCTCTAAATGGGTGTGTGTGTTTACACTGAATATGTTTGCGGAAATATATTATTTGATTGGAAATGTAATTTCGTTTCGTGTGTATGTGTGTGTGTGTGCATTTAAGCGCTTTTGTAGTGAATTTAGCTGCGTGACAGGCTTTTTGCAGCGCCACGAACAATTCTCAATTTACTTATGATAGTTATTTTCCAAGCAGGCTTTTACGTATGACCCCTATTATTTATAAGCAGTTTGTAGCCCCTCTGGTTACTGCTACTATCAGCCTATTTAATTTAGAGACTGTCCCAACTGTATCTACTTCTTTAAAAAAATCAAAAACTTATTTGCTAATTTTTTTTCTTAACTGTATATTGAAAGTTATGTTTTGTTATGCTTATGCTTTTTGTTAGTTGGTTATTATTATTTATATTTAATTAGTTTATGTGTTTAATTTGAATTATATTTCTGTTTGTTTACTATGTTATTGCATATTTTTTTAATATATTTTTTTTATTAAATTGTATATTTTTTGCTTTTACATGAAAATCACGTACACAAACTACTTACCATCACGTACAAACACCAACAAACAAACAACTTGAAAACTAAAAAAAAAAACGAAATTTTAATAAAATATATGAAACGAATATCTTGTGTGGCGTCCAATCAACTCATATCAACTTCAACATCAATCTACCTCGTCCTCCGTCAACAAAATTACCACCACTTATTTTTGTTTGTTTATCATCTATGCGTTAATTCATTGCATACATAAACTTACCCGTAAATACGAATAATGCGGAATGTAATTGCATAAAATTTTAAATTAATAATAATTAAAAAAAATATATATAAATATACATATAAACGCTCGTTTGTTACAACCATAACACACTTATATAATGTATGTGTACCAACACATCCGTTGTCTCCGTCCTCATCACCGTCATCTACGCTTGGCCCTTTGCGCTGTCATAATTGCTCCATCATCATCATGATCACCGTTATCAACGGTGTTGTCGTCGTCGTTGTCGCCATCGTCTTCATATGCGTCTGTGAGAACGCGTTTACAGCAAACGCAAACGGAGTTGTAAACAGCAATAGTGAACTTGATGTTAACAATGTTAACAACAATGATTCAAATGAACCGCAACGTAAGTGTTGAATTTAATTTTCTTCTAGTCGTTTATTAACTATACAAATCGTAACATATTTTAGTTACTTAAGATAATAATCAGTATTAGAAAACAGTATTATTACGCAGTATGTGGGGTAAGGTTAATCGTAAAAAATATTAAACTATTTAAAAAACATTAAAATATTTAAAAAATATTAAAAACTATTTAGTGAAAATTTATTTTAATAATATTATTAAATATGTAAAAATATTATTAAAAAAATATTTGTCTACAAACTACATTTACTAATATGGTTAATGCGTTTTTTGGTCCAAAATCCTTTTTTGTAATTACTTAAAAGTCACCAAACGTCTGTATTGAAACACTTGAGGCGTAAGGAATGAAAATTTTGCATTTTTAGAAATATTCTCAACGAATTTGTAATATTTACTTTACATAAATACTGCTGCATTGTGTAAAAATAGTAATAATATTTAAATGACGCATTTAATTTTTTGTAACCAAATCGAAAATGCGCCATTACATTGCAGTCGCTGTCTTAACATTCGTCTTAGTATAATTAAAAGTGACTACACTTAAAAACAACCATTCATTTATTGAGAATTTATCGAAAAAACGTAACTTCCGCTCAAATGCGAACACTATTATATAAATAATAATAAATTGTGTGAGAAGGCTTATGCCAAACTCCAGCTATTTTAATATTTAAAACCGCTTTTTTAAGTTCTCAATGTCAAGCAGAAATAATTTAGTGCAAATTTGGTGCACATGATGGAACGATATATGCGTTCCAAATATGAAAAAACATGAGATTTAACTAATTTCAAAATAATTTTTCCACAAATTAGATAACGTTTTTTCTTGTTATTTCTGTGTACTTGTTATCTTAAGTACTTTAAAATTGGTTATGTCCGTTTTTTTAGTTTGGTGATTTGGTGACTTTTATAGTATTTACAATGAATAATAAAAAATACAATAAAATTAACTAATTATCGCACAACCCCAGGCGTTTAACCTGCCGTAATCTTGTCTAACAATCTCAGCGTAATTATCTGAAATTAAATTTCTGGTTTACTGGGTTTTCAGAACAGCGCACAAGTGTAGAATATATGAATATGTATTAATTTTTGGTTAAGGGTTATATAAAATGATTACATCCACTGGTACTCAAGCATATTAAAGCAGCGTTTCGACAAAAATCGAATGTTCATAGTAAATAAAATACAAAAACATTTCTAATCTTTGTGCAATTTTGGTATCGTCTTAAAACGCGTGCGCGCGCACTGCATTTCGACACCTACACACATACTCATACACGCTCCAATGACCTTTAATATGTGTAAAAACGTAATATATTTACAGACACCTTCGGACTATAAGCAATACATTTTCAATTGACTTTTAATTACTCTTTAATTAATTTTCTTTACTTTTATATAACGTTTGATTTTTAATCGTTAACTTTAAATTGCATATAATTATGTGCAATTCCCCTTTTATTTCTACTGCTCCCACACTCGACGTTGTTGAAAATCATTTTCCCATTATTATTATTAATTTTTTTCTTTTTCAAAATTCATGCATTGCTTTACTCCAACAGCGCCAAGCAATGAGAACACAGTAAAAATGATTCAAAATGCTTTTTGCTCAACCTTACATGTGCCCATACATACATACATACATTGTGTGCGTATTTTTAACGAACAAAAGCAACACAGCGTTCAGTTTGAGCGCTAAACTTTCGTTATTTTCCAGTTTAAACTCCACTCATTAATTAAAAAACGCACACTTGATTTTCTCACAAGTCAAAATTTTAGAAAATTATTTCCCTGATTCCAGCTTTTCTCAAGTCACAGTCAATATTCACAAAGACAGTTTTCAGTTACCATAATTTATTTTGGTCAATCAAATTGTCTCTATTTACATGACATATGTACATCTTTTTTCTCTCATCCAACTATTTACAACAAAATACCACCTAGTCCCCCGTCCCCCACTTACTCTTTTGTGTTTTTTTTTCTACTACTGCTGCTGTTCTTTTTTAACTGAAAGAAATCTCTTCTTAATTCTTTAATTTTCTAGCTTTTATGCTTTGCTACACACAAGACGATGCCAATGCTGAAGGAGGTATGTACCAGTTACTTTACTGTTGTTTATACGTTAACCACATACTACTTGCATATACATATAATTTATCGATATAAAATTAATATATATATATATACATTACTATATACTCTATACAACTCTTTATCTATACAAACATACTACTTACTTTGATTAATGTAATTTTTAACTGTAGTCTCACAATATATTTGCTCATTCCCTTTGATTATTCTTGATTACTTATTATAATTCCGTAATTTTGATTTTACTACCTAATTACTTACATACATACCGTTACTCGTATATGCATAGTACTTCTACTACCACAATTACATACAATTTGATTTCCTTGTTCTTGACTACTCGATGCCCACGTAGGCTTCAATACACCAAATGGTTAATTATTAGCGCTAATAACATATATATACATATGTACATTTATATACATAATTTTTTATGTACATAATATACAGTACAATTTGCGACTAACCAAACTATGTATTACAAAATGCAGTCATACTCGTATATACTCTTACATAGATTGAATCAATATTCATATGTTAGCTTTTGTTTTATTTATTTTGAACCATTTATTATATATTACAGACATACATAACTTTCATATTTTAATTTATAAATAATTTGCAGTATATGTATATTTTTTTTTTAAATTGTTTAGGAATCATCGAATGTTTTCAAACATGTTTTAATTATTTTTATTGGCTGCGCTGTATAAGAACCACCAAAAATTCTTAGTTAGTTAAATACCCTTTGAGAAATTGTTTGCCTGTATGCAGGGTTGCAAATCATGCATTTAATAAATAATTGAATTAACATTTGAATTGAAATATATGTAAATAATTAAGAACTAAAAAAGGAAATTGCTTTAATATTAAAATTTTTTCGCATTTGCATATTTCATTCAAATAATATAATCAAATTTTTAATCCCAAACGTTTTGTTTCGATTTTTAATTTTTAATTCTAACCTCGAGATTAATAAAATTCGCAACCCTGCCTACATGTAAATACAGTATAAGAGAAAAATTATTGATAGCTGATATACAACAATCTGCAAAAGTTATCGTTAGTTGTTGTTGTAACAGCATAAACCATTTTTCTTAATATTGAAAGTTCTTGCCATTTCCGCCAGCGTAGATCTGATTGAAAGAAACTATCGATAGCCGATAACATGATAATATATAGTTTGCAAAACAAGAGGATAGCGAGGTTTTGTTTGCTCCACAGAATTGAACAACAAATTTAATGGCGCCTTCTCTTCCACAAACCAGGTTATCTGAAATAAGTATTTTCGGTTTCTGTACCTGAAATTGACTTAGTAAGAATTTTTACAAGATTTTTTTTTATAGCTTTAAGTTATCGATTTTTACGATCGTGCTACCGAAATTTTCAATGATGCGAATAGCGATGATAATTTCGCTAGCATCAACTTAAATCAGGACCTGAAAGAAATCTTAATGTATTGTTTATAATGTAAATTTGTTAGTAAAAAATCCAAAATTTTGTAAAGTAATTAATATTTGCTTAGTAAAATTAAAAATATGTATAATTTACGCAGTTTCAAATATTTTTTTTATACATTCATAGCATATATGGTAATGCCCTTAAACCGATTAATTGTAAAAAGTCGATTTATTTTCTTTTATAGAAACCATAAAAAACATAAACATACAAGTGAAGAGCTAAAATGTAATCAAAGAAATCGCTTGTTTTTGACCATATTTTTTATGGTCAGAAAATATTAATATACATTTTGAAATATTTATCGATGTAAGTCTATGTCCATTGTACAAGTTTAATAATATTAAGAAATGTCAAAGATAAATATTTCGTAAATTTTAATTCAGTTGTAACGGCAGTAGTTTATAGTTTGCTAAAGGAATTTGTATTGCTATTCTTGAATAATAAGTATTTATCAGATTTCAATTCAAAAATTAATAATTACAAATAATTGTTTTGTATCTACGTCATTCAACGGTTTGCAAGTTTTTAAAAATTGTTTAAAAAGTTTTTTAACCAGCGCAGCCACATAATTTGATATGAATTTAATATTTTTAACCTTGCATCTCTGAGGCGCAGAATTATTATTTCTTTTTGATTTTCCGCTTTTATGGCAAATTTGATCACATTAGATTTCATTGGTCGTTTGTTTGATTCGAGAGTCTAAAGATTCGGAGAACTTGCTGGATGCGAAAGTGATTCGGGGCAGAATTTAAGCAATTTTGCCATCGTTTTCATTGATTTGTGATAAAGATATAATTATTATTGTAGAGTTCTTGCTGAAACAGCACTTACTTCTTGTTCAAATGGCGCCATTTTCGGCGATTTTGTTTTTCAAACGTTCTAAGAACGCTATTTAATGTCACTGTGGATGGTTTTTTCTTTACAAGATAGTAAGTTTAATACTCTTGGACCTTCGCGAAAAAGCTTGCAACCTTTTCTTTCGAATTTTTCAATTAAAAAGAGAATTAGATATTTAAGTCTACGAATATAACATTTGAAATTACTAAAATAGGGCCATCGCCAGGGTAGAGACTATCGCTATAGCATAGCTGAAACCTCAAGGAGATTTATGGCATAGAAAATGTTCTTTTAAAAATCGCCCGGCCCTTCGAACAATACATACTCTTTCATGCACATTATAGGGCTAAGGAAGAATATAGAACACACAAAGTGGTGTGATGTCTACTGATTACTTTTCATTAAATAGTTTTCTCGCTCTGAATTACAGGTATGGCAACCGGTGTAACCGGTGTAAAAATTAGGCAGTGGGCGCGGCACCGCCCACTTTTTGGTGAAATCCTATTTCCCCGGTAATACTAGACCATTTTTAACCACATTTGGGGTGTAAGCTTAGTCCATTATTTCTATCACACACTATGAAAATGGGCGAAGTTGACTGACAACCGCACTTACTTCCTATATAACAAACTTTTAAATTCCATCTGATTCGTTCACTTTACATTCGGGGATAGTATTTTTGTGATAACAGCATGCCCTTGTGCTGAAACTGGGTAAAATCGGGCCAATACTCCGAAAGAGTCTCTTTCTAATAATAGTGTACAATCTTGCCTGTGATTGTAAATACTTTCTACTTTTAATGAAAATATATTCGAAAATCCCGTGTATCACCTTGCGAGAGTATAAAATGTTCGGTTACACCCGAACTTAGACCTTCTTAACTTGGTTTTTTTTTTTAATTATTACAAATTTTTTTTTTTATAATTTGAAAAAAAAAATATATATATACATAAATTTATCTATCAAGATTTTTTTGTTTTAGACTATTCAGTTGCATTCATATACACACTTATACTCTGATAAAAATCAACTGTAAATATATGTAGATATTGAAAATATTTTTTTACTCATTATGCGTGTGTAATCAAAATAATTAATTTTCTTATATTTTTCATATTTACTTAAAGCGTACTCATACATATTTGTAAGAACATAAAGAATTACTATAAAATCATGCATATTTGATTTAACAAATAAAAAATATTGCATATATTTCTATGTCGTATGCATTACTTTTATGTATTTTTTTATGATTTACACACACATGTTGTTTACATACATAAATACCGTACAGTACTCTAATGCCCCTTCTATACACGACGCTGCCTTGTCCAATCGCTTTTAACTTAAAAATTATAAAAAAAAAGTTTAGTTCTTTTATAGGAAAATCTTTAATGAACAATCAAAATACTTGTACACACCGCTCCCAAAAGTTTTTTTTTGTACAGAAAGTGAAAGAAAACATTCTACTGTACTTTTAACGACAAAATTCATTAAATACTCCAATGTACATACAACATCTGTTTACTATAAATCTGGCAAACTCTTTGATGTGCAAAAATATACGCCGATCCGCTCCACCCCCGCTTAGCTTCTTGTCCTGCTGCATCCGTGAGCGATCGCTACATTCATTATTAATGCTTTTGGCTTGGCGAATTCCAGCAATTTGTTTATACATTTACTTGTATCTGCTGTGGCTTATTTGTTGTTTGCTTCTTTGAATATATTTTGTTTTCTTCTTCATAATTTATTATTTTTCTTTTTAGAATGTTGTGTATTCTACGTTTTTTATCTCTCTCTTGAATAAAAGCTTTCCGACAGCCTTTGCATTATAACGATAAAGACCTGTCGTAAGATTTCGGTACAGCTATGTACTTAATGAACGCTGTTGTCATTCTGCCAGTGTGTCTAAAAGCATGACAAATTTATGTAATACTTCAGACAGTCGTTATAAGATTTGAAAATATATTTACTTTTAAGAAAGTTCTAAATACTTTAAATTGATATAAATCGAAATCGGTTAAAAAATTATAAATATTTTAACAAATTTTCTCGAAAAAAAATTCAAATGGTACTATTTTGATACTCTGAACAAGGTACATTTAATTTTCCACGAAGTTTGTAACACCCAGTAGGAAACGTCGGAGACCCTATGAAGTATATACATAAATCCCTATAGCATATAGTTGCCATACAAACTGATCGTTCAAGATCAAGATAAAAATATTTTATAGTACAGGAAATGCACCTGTAAAGAGTAGTATAGCTTGTATTAATTTACTTCTTCTGTTGGTTTTTCGGTATTTTTGTGAGTAATTTAGGGTTAAGGCCTACTGACTTTCGTTTGCTTGCCTAACTTTGGCTTTATTTATAAAAGATTCCTCTAAAGAAGTGACTAATTAAAAAGTATTTCGCTAAACTCCAGTTCTTAACTAAGTTTTGTAGTCAGAGAATTGAGATGGTTAATGCAAATAAATTTATCTAGCTACTTTTTTAAAATTAGAACAATGTGAATGAACTAATTTTGAGATCTGATTACCTGACACCTAATTAGGTTCGGATTATATTCAGAAATTTGAGAGTATAATGTTTCATCTTTGCTTTATTTGCTTAATTATATCCGATTATGACATTTGCTAGAAACCCGGTTGCTCGTGGCTTTAAATACCGATCTTAAATAACTTTCTCTTATACTCTCTTTTTTTCCTCTTATCGCACTGATCGTTTCTTCGTAAACTTTCTACCTTAAAGTTGTGAGGGTTACAGAAAGAGCCGATGTGATATTTACGTAGCTTTAAGCTATAAAAATTTCGTAATTTTTTCCAACGTTTCAGAAAAATTTAAACTGAAGCTTACAAATTTCATGGGAAAAAACTTAGTCTTACGATCTGTATTAAAACTGACCGCTTTCTGCTTTTGTCTAAACTGGATGATTTCAACACCTTACTCTCTAGGATTTCTCAATCTGTTAGTTCAAAATAGAGCGCTTGAATTCCAACGATGAGCATATATTTCCGTTTGTTCAAAAATACAGATTTTCCACGCATCAAAACTGTGTGTTAATGCCATGGAATGGAAGGTTAAGACTTTAGCTCTTATATAATATATACCATAAACAGCCTGTTGTACATTATATATTGTAAATGTGTAATCACTACCTATGTTTAGGACGCTTGAATTATATATTGACAGAAATCAACACAAATTTTGAATTTATTTCAGTTTTATGTGTTTGTTGTGTGTTTAGCTTCATTTTCAATTGTTTGTACATAGCGTATCATTTTGCTAAGAGTCAGTTGGGCAAATCGAATAGCCTACTTACGGCTTTTTTCCTGTGATTACCCATCGTGCTTCTTTTTATTTTTGTACGTCTATAATTTCACTTTGAAAACTTTATTTTTCAATTTTCTCCAACTGATTTATAATCTAGAATATATTGTATAGATGTAGATTTAAGCTACCGCCAATGTACTTCTTCACCAAACATGCAGCAATACCCTCCTCACAGAAACCGAATATGGATCCCGCAATTATAACCGCGTATTAAGATATATACCCACCGCACTGTGTAAATAAGTAGGCCGTTAGAACTCCGTGGGCAAAATTTGTTGCATAACTAAATATATTGTGCGCCTAAAAGTGTGCCAGTTATACTCGACTAGTTGTATAATCCATTTCATACTTTTGTGCGTGCTGTTCCAATTAATTAGTGAAATTTTACTCCTTAAAGTGATTCTGTTGTCGATTTGCTTAGCAAGAATTAAATATATAAAATTGTGTACGTCAATCCACTCCAACCAGCGCATACCAGAACCTCTGCTCAACTCGAAACTCCTTCACACACAATTCTCCACTACCACCATCACTCGGTTAGTTACATAGCATACCCGGCTTATGAAAATATTTACATTTGTTGAATCTTCAATTGCTTTGTTAGGTTTGTTCGTTATGTTTTGTGTTTCATACTACTTTTATATTTTTTCTGCCAACCCTTTCATTGAGTAACTACTTTTATTCAAAGCCTTTGTTTATTCTCCGACTTATATGAGTTGGTACCATTTTGTTGCAAATTCACCGTTTGGTTGCAAATTACTAGTTTTGAAATTAAAAAGTCATTTTTTTTAAATCAACACACACATATATATACTTATCGACATCAGCATACAATTCTTCACTACTTTTTTGTTTTGTAAAATTTTACTTCATGAACACAATTTTAATTAAAATTGAATTCAATTGAAATGAAGTATACACCGTCAATGTACAGAAATAATAGATTTTCTTTTTCTTTTGAATTTTTGTCGTATTTTCTACTCCTACTACTTTTACTACCTACTCCATTACCAACTACCTACTACTACTACTATTCTGCTACTATTTCAACTACTACTGCTCTCGTTCGCAAATCTACTCTTCTAAAACGTTATCGATTAATTGACTGATTGATTGATTGTTTGTAATGTTTTAATTCGAAAATAAAAAATGTTTCGTTATTCAACAAATGGCCAAATCCAACTACCACCATCACAAATCAAATGATCTGATACAAACAAATCAAAATGTATGCGATATCCTTAACGAAACCGCAATAAAAAAATGTACCGTAACAACCGTTATGGTGGGATTGCATTGAAAACGGCGTGCAACAAACTTAACTACTATCTACTACTATTTTGTGTCACTACTACCAACCACTAAACAAATTTATGCCATCAACACAACAACAAATACTACTACTATTACCGCTATCAACAACAACCAAATGTACCAACAACAACACGAACAACGTTCGCACTAAAGCTGAAATTATCTACCGTGTGGAGCTGCCAGACATGGAGCAGATAACACTAATCTATTTGGAGAATAGCGACGCTGACTATCGTAAGTCCAGCGGCTGAATGAAATAAATAAATTTAAAAAAAGTATTAAATAAAAAATGCGTAATATATAAACAAAAAAAAGAATAAAAAATAATAATTAAACCCCAAAAAAATATATAAAAATTGAATGAAATAAGTATATTTAAAAAGTGCCAACATTAAAAAATTGTTTTCAAAATTTTCAAAAAAAAAAAAAATAATTGTTGAAGCAATTTTAAATTAGCAAGTGAAATGTTTAAAATAATATAATTACCGTTAACACTTTTAAGTTTGTTTAAGCAACAAGAAAGCAAAGCAAAACAAGCAGCAAAGCTTAGCCATTTAAAAGTTTACCAGAAACAAGTATTTTATGTTAGCTTTTGTGTTGAAAATATTAAAAAAAAATAAATAAATAAAAAAAATGAAAAAGAAGTATTTAAAGGCAAGCAAATTAAATGAAAAAGTAGCAACCAAATTTAAGCATATACATTAAAGAAAGAAAGTATTTAAATGACAGTATTTTGTTCTCTTAATTTCGATATATATATACATATATGTACTTTTTACCTTAAAGCGTCTTCTTTCTGGTTTGTTTCGTTCGTACGTTCGTTCGATTGTGCATTTCTTATAAAACATACTATTTCGTTTACTTTACTCTTAACTACACCACTCCACTCCACTACACCACACTCGTGTTTTTTGCCGTCGCCCCATGTTCCGTTACAGCGCAACGTTTGAAATAACATTTATAAAAAAAAAAAAAATATTTTTCAAACCACATTATTATGCAGAAAATACATATTATACTACTTGCGTTACGTTATCGTTACGTTAACGTTATGTTACGTTATGTATTGGCTTGTTTTATGTTCTAAAAGTTTGCGTGCTACAGCTGCTTGTTTGAATTTAATTGATTGTTGCTCATTTATATAGCGATTTTGATTTTGTAGCTGAAATTTTTTTCGAAAACTATCCATTTACCCAGCTCCGGAAAGCGAAACTCCCTATATTATATTCTTTCTGTTTCCGTTTTATATTCTTCCTATTTGTTCCTGTACCTTTTCTAGCTTTCGACGAAATAAAGCAAAATTTGTTTTGGTTTTATAAAATGTTAAATAAAAACTTTAAACATTTTTGTATTGAACTTTCGCATTTGTTTGTCGTTTTCTAAACTCTTTGCTGTTTAACCTTATTTTGTACCTCAGTTGTAGTGATCCACAATTTTTGCTTCTACTGCGATTTTTTTAAATTACTTATTTTTCGTTTTACAATTCTACCTTTATATAACCGACTCTGACCAACGCCTACTTTCGTTAGTTTCTAAATTTTTTACTTCGTTTGTTTGTTTGTTCCTCATATGTTCTCTTGTTCCTTGCTCGAATCCACGCCACGCCAACCCACCGTACGACCGTCACACCACCGCCACCACCACCACACCCATCGCCCCCAACGGCCCATACACCAAATCGCTGTTGCGTACACATCCAGCCTGTACCGTTTAACTCGTACAATCACACGTAGTTCGTTTCGTTTCGTTGGTTTACTTTGTTTTCACTTTGAATTTTGGTATGCAAGCCGGCAATTTGCTGCGACGACTAAATTTTGTCTCTTGCCTACTTTTAGGCTGCATCACCTATATTTTTGGACTTGTCGTCATTTTCTTTTACAAACATACATACTTGAGACCTACCCACCTTTTGTCGCATTCGCTCGCCCGTTACTTCGTTTGCCTATTATGTAGTCTAGTCTAGCAATCTTGTTTGTAGAGCCCTCAACCTATTTTAGGTTCTCAAAGCATCCACCAACATTTGTTTTTTTTTTTACCAATTACCACCAACAAAATCGTAGTGCCGTCGCATTTTCGACAATTTACACTAATTTTATTTTCTTTTGTTTTAATTGCATTTGGTATGAATTGTTTTGCCGTTGTTGTTGTTCTATTGTATTGTAATACCTCTAATATTTAGTCCATATAAAACATATTTGATATGATCTCAATACTGCATTGAGGCCATATAGTACCCCAAATTCTCCCTCCAGCAGGAAGTAGTAGTTTTTTGTAGGTTAAAAATCGTATGACTTGCATTTTGCTTAGTGTAAAATATATAGTACTTGTATAACCTCGAACTATGTACTATAAAAATATAGTGAGTCTTGAGCGTAATTGAAGTTTTTTTTTTGTTTGTAAAGCTAAAATAGTTTTAGGGTTGAGTAGACGAATGTAACTACATAGATCTGTATAGGATACGATTTATTAATTAGTCTATTACAGTTGAATTAGACCTTAGAATGGCATGTGTTAGAGGAATGCTAATAAATAGTAAAATTATTTCATAGTATGATTTTGAAATTAAATAACAATAAAATATTAGTTCACATTGAGGATTATATTATAAGAAAATATTTGGAAATTTATTAAAAAATGGAAAAAATAATGATATATTTATGTTGATATCAGAAGAAAGTTTATTAATGTTAAAAAACAATTTTTCAAAGAGGATATTTTTTGAATTTTCGGAAATTCAAATAAGTATCGAATAATATTTAAAAAAGATTTTTTTTTTAAATAGAAGGAAAACCACTTTTCTTTTGTCTTAAAAATAATACGAAATCCTTTGTACTGTTAAGAAAAAAGAGAATCCTAGCTGCTCCCAAAAACTAGTTCGAATTTAAATGGAGCACTATACAAGTATAAATGCCAATCGTTATAATCACTAAATGTATACCAGCTGTCTTCCATTCGCCAGAACAAACAAGCTGTATAAAATTGCCGCATACTCGGTCTCTCGTTTATTGCTTTGAACTGGTAACGTTTATGAATGATTTTCGTTTCTATTTAAGTTATTTTCCTTGAAAATTCGCCTTCATGATGCTATAGTTTGATGGTGAATTTTATAACCGCTCTAACCCCATAGGCTTATAAATAATCAATAACTTAATTAACTAAAAACCCAGCAAAATTAGCCAGAGGGTTCGAAAGTTTAAGATTTTTCTGGCAATATTTCAAAATTTTCTAATGCCTGTCAAAAAGAAACAATAACTAGAGATGGCTTAATACACATGATCACGTTCCTTCTCACTTAAATATTGAATTGCTTCAAATCCGAATTACCGAAATAAAAAAAGTCTCTAAAATTTATTTCAATGACCTAAACGATTTCTAGAGGCTAACAATTTCTTATAGCGTTATGAAAAATAATGCCTATAAAAAATTATCTAGTCTACTCAAAAATGTATTGTTTCAATTTGAAAGGGTTTTAAATCCTTTTATTGTAGAGTTATTTTCATTGAAATAATGCGAACTAAGTTTTTACATAGTATTTGAAAAATATTCGTATAGAAAAAATTAAGCCGATATTCTAAGTTTAGAAAGAAATAAATTAATCTTAGCATATTTGCTCTAAAGCCAATGAAACTAACTAACTAATTGTCTTCGACTCGTCAAGCTTTTGAGAGTAGCGAATCGAACCAACTAAACCAGCTGTTCGCGCTAACACTTCTCTGATACATGCGCAATGGTGTTGCGCTTCTCTCCTTGGTAAAGAAATTCGCCTTTTATACCAAATAATATTTTACTATTATATAAAAAAAGAGTTCAATAATGAAACTAGTCTAATATCTGTAAAACTAAACTTGGCAGCAACAGAGATGGCGGTCGTACCACTTTAATGAGGGGTATCCGCATACTTTTGTATCGCATTCAATTTTGCTAGCGAACAGAAAATGGCGAATCGAAGACAATACTGTATTTTACAAGCCAAAGTGAAATGAATTTAAAAAATAAAAATACTATATCCTGGTGTTGCTACGCATTCAATTTATCTTGGCGCTACCAAATTGTCTGTGCAATAATATTTAAGCAATATTTTAGTTCTGCAGCATGTTCTATGAATATTTATTTTGTTATTGTTTACAATTTATTAGTGAAAATGTTTTGACAATGATAAGTTATGAAATCGCTAGATTATCTTATGACCCTGGAACCCCGGCGATAATGTTGAATAAATAAAATTCGATAGCTTGTTATAAATAAATTAGCGTTTTATGTTTAAAGATGTTTAAGATACGAGTAATTGATTACTATCCACGTGAAAATATAGAATATATTTTATTGATTAGGAAGTTTAGATAATATCTATACAAAGCTTATTATATATACATCCAAGAATCCTTAACTTTTTTGTTAATTTTAAGTAATTCTCAATATCTATTGTTGTCTGTCCGATAGCTTTCATTTGTCGTTGAGGAATATAAGCCTGTATATAATATGTTGTACGCATACACATACGTACATACTTAAATAACTGTTACAGTGTATGTGTGTGTGTGCGTGTACCTGCAAGCCCTTGATGCTCAGTTTGTGCCTTTTCTTTACTTTTAATATTTATTTATACTTAGAACTTTAGTTAAAAACTCGAATTGTGAATTGTTTTTAGTGAAAAAAGGCATACTGTTCGTTGTCACTCGTTTGCGCTTTATTGTGTCTGTCGCCTTGTGTTTTTCTGTTCCGCCTATTATAACTACGAAGAAATTAGTAGTATGCGCTCTTAAAAACAATTAGTTTATTTGAGTTTGTAATGTAAATGCGAAAAAATTACTCATAATTAAAAATAACTAAATTGATTAATTAAAAATTAATATTTTCTAGCAAAACACTGAATGAAAGCAACCTGCAAAAGTACCAAAAAAAAACCAATACAAAAAATTAAAAAAAAAAAAAATAAAACAAAGAAAAATAAATTACGCTATGCAAAACGGCATTGCATTCCCAAAATGTTGGTAGGGAAGATAATTCGTTAATAATTTAGTAATTCTTTGCCATAAATAAATATTTATAAAATTAACTTTAAATATATTTACAAATATATATATGCATATATACTTATATAATAAATATTATATTTAATTTGAACTGTCAATGAAATGTCAATTGCGTATTTTGCATTGCATTGAAAACATCTATTTTTGTTTTGTTTTTGTTTCGTTCACAACTTCCATACTTCATTACCGTCATGACATCCCGTTTTATACATATTTTACAGCATCCGAAGAGAATGTGCTATCGTACGAGGCCGTACAACGGTTATCCATTAACTATACACGACCGGTAATCGTGCTTGGCCCATTGAAGGATCGCATCAATGATGACTTGATATCGGAGTATCCCGAGAAGTTTGGCTCCTGTGTACCACGTGAGTGTAGCGCAAAATACATATACTCTTACAACAACAATGTAAAATACAATCAATACAATAAATATTAATAATATTTACTTTCCATTGCAGACACGACTCGACCGAAGCGTGATTACGAGGTGGATGGTCGTGATTATCATTTTGTTTCGTCGCGTGAGCAAATGGAACGCGATATACAAAATCATCTATTCATCGAAGCGGGCCAATACAATGACAACCTCTATGGCACATCGGTGGCGAGTGTACGCGAGGTTGCGGAGAAGGGTAAACACTGCATTTTAGATGTCTCGGGCAATGCCATTAAGCGGCTGCAAGTCGCTCAACTATATCCAATTGCTATATTTATCAAACCGAAATCGGTGGACTCAATAATGTAAGTTTCGAAATTTTTCTTCTCTAAACTGTATTTACGAGTTAGTATTACGGGGTTTAGACTGTTTGCGGCTTTATAACTTCGATATAAATAGGTACTAATTTCTACCTCTGCGAAATTGATAGTGTTTTCTTTTCTCACAAAAATGTTGCATATTTTCTGTCCAAGTTTTTCTACTAATTATAATGAATCGATTAATTTTGTTAAGCTTAATAATGGATATTGCGAATGAGTTGGTTGGCATTTTTTTGTTCTTTGTTCATATAGAAAATGGAACATTTATATAAAATTGTAATGAGGCAACATTTTCATTGATAAAGGAAAACACTATGAGTGTTTCATATGCACATATTCAGCCATGTTCTGTATTTCACTTTAACATACAAACGAAGTGATTCGGTTTGAAAGTCGAATTTGTCTGTTCCTGAAATCGAATAACTTTCTGATGTGATTTCGAAACAAAATGCCTTGTTCTGAAAACCGAATCCACATATTTAAAAGTAATTTGAAAACAAACTATTTATAATGTGTGATTTCTTCTCTGAGTACGTGCTAACAAGGGATATGTGGGCGGAGGAAGGTTGGAAGGAGTGTTTTTTGGTAAGAGCTCTTCATTAACTTTAGCTTCAGGATACCAGACCACTGTAGTATTTTTCAAGCAGAAGTGGCTGCAATTAAGGTAGCAGAAGATGTATTACTCCGAAGGGGGGGTAACATTCACCGACAGCAGAGCGATAATACTAACTTTGAGCTTGCTCACTACCAATACCATCCTTATACTTTATTATCAGACTCGTCTGGGTGCCTGGTCATATTGAAATCGCTGGAAACTGCAAAGCCGCTGATGCTCGCAGCAAAGGGCATCCTAACCCCAATCTAATCAGACTGGGTCGGTGCTCCACAGGCTTGTGTAAGCTCACAAAGCGTTAGTTAACAAACAGCACCTGTGCAAAATTTATTTTATTATGGATCAAAGTGGAACGTGGAAGGTCTATTGAATTACTAGCCCTAAGCAATGTTCATATGTTCATATCACCGCAATGATAGGAGTTCTCACTGCACTTCTTCTTAATGAAACATCCGTATCTTTCGCAATGGTCATGGCCAACTGTTGCAGATAAAGTGGAATTGTGCTTTTAAATTAACTACAAAATTAAAATAGTCAATAAAAGTATTTAAACAGTTCATCAGCAACTTCAAACGGATGTGAAAAGCATTGTTATAATCTTCTGCAACTCGGAGTCATTATTTTGGAAAACTCTCACGGCAGCGCACAAATTTTTGAAAAATAAAATATTTACATATATATCATTTAAAATAAATGTCATTTGCTTCAAACAGCTGTTTTGATGTGAAATGGATATACTTCGAAATATATGAAATCATTCGGTTTGTAAAAATGAAATCACATTAATTTCAGTCGGTTTCTGGAACATGCCTGATTGTATCTCACATTTTTCACATCTAAATATAGTGTAAAGTTAACCGTAGCAAACTAAGTCAAACCGAATATATACAGAGTATGGGACAAAAAGGAAGATATATGAACGGAGTTTTCGCTATTTATGACTGCATCACGCTCTGAAAGTATCTACACATTTTAATGGTGTGTGGGTATATAGTCAATAGGAAGCAAGGATGTCCTCATATTCGACCTTTTCTGGGCTGGGAGTGGAGAGTGTAAGAGGCTTTTTTATGATCAGTTTTCGATGCATTCATTAATGCTAGAGTTTTCTACTCTTTAAAAGAAAGTCTGGTGGTAAATGCTTGGAACGGTGTATCACTTCAGATTATTCCAGGAACTGGAATGAAATTTCTGAAGTCCGTTGCGTCCGTAGTGTGGTCGTTAAAGTGTGCAATATCGCCGACGCAATAAGGAATGATCTCTTGAAGCACCTAGGAGGGGGGGCTCCAAATAAATGACTATAACGTTGGTTGCTATGAAAGCTGTGTAGGTGTTCAATGGAGTGTTAGGCTCCTTGCAGTGGAAAAACAAGAAAGGTCGGTAAGAAACCGACGCCAATATCGTACAATCATCAGCGAATGAGGTGGTTGAGGAAGCTGCGAGATATTAAATTAAACAGTAGCGGGAGTAGGTACCCACCTGCAGAACCCCCTGGTTATTTCTAGTAAACTTAGAATTTTCGATGGGGAGTGTAGACTGTTCGAAGTCTTGTAGTACTTTGGAGAATGTTTTATGTCGCTACAAAAAGACGGACGGTATTAAATCGAACAGGATTTTAATAATGTTAAGGGTATACTAAAAAACTCATTCCTAAAAAATATAAATCTCTCTTTAAATAAGTAGCTATTATTTTTTTTTATAAATTTCTATATATCGATGTAAACTAATTTTTTCGTATATGCTTCCAGGGAAATGAATCGACGCATGACGGAAGAGCAAGCGAAGAAAACTTACGAACGTGCGATTAAAATGGAACAAGAATTCGGCGAATACTTCACAGGTTAGTTCTAACCGCTTATATAAGCATACATAATATGTAGATATGTATGTATTGTATATAATAATAACTCTGTATTCATTTGTAGGAGTGGTCCAAGGCGACACCATCGAAGAGATCTATAGTAAAGTCAAAGCGATGATCTGGTCACAATCGGGACCAATCATTTGGGTACCATCCAAAGAATCTCTATGACCAACAGCCACGACGACATGGACACTGCCGCCTCGAGTACGCTGTCGACCAGTCTCGAGATCAACAACAAATCAACATCAACAGCAAACGCACTGATTTTGAACGACATTGATGGAACACGATGTCGCCAACAACGACAACACACACAAGCCGTAACCGAAACGCAGCCGATAATTCATGTGGATGCGTTATGCAAATGAGGTAAAGAAAGAGAATTGAAAATAGTGGACAGACACACGCACGCGGCATAACATCTTCAACGTAGAATAAAGTCACACCCACGCGCAAAATGTCACCAGCCTTAAGTAAATATATATAAGCTGAAAGCAAGCAAGGCCTGTCAGGCCTTAGTGACGCAATATGGCTGATGTTTCTGTCTTTCTGTCAGTGTGTGTGTATGTTTTTGTCGATGCCTATTTGCAGTCGGGTGTTTGCGTCGTTGATGCGACCGTGCGTTATGAAGAAACAAGTGGAGATAATATGAAAATAAAAACACTATAGAAGAAATATGTTGTAGCTAATAAAAAGAAAACCACAAAAACAAATAACAATAATGAATAGAAATAAGTCAGGCTGCGACTACTCTCCTACATATATACTGATAATGATGATGATGATGATGGTGCATTTGTTGTTTGTTTGTTACCGCTAGCAATTAAAAAGAAATTCGATAATCGTTTAATATATATATGTATGTATATATAAATATACATGTGCATATATAAAATTATATATATAAATAATTAGTAACGAAGCAGAAATTTAATAAAATTGTAATGCATATGAGTACACACGCTCTTCATATATAAAGAAATTGCAAATTCTACACGCATACATACATATATAAATACCGACGTACATACATACATGAATACATAACTGCTTGCATATATCATACAAAAATAATAATAAAAAATCAATAGCAATGAGGGCAGCAACTAAGAATTGCGTAAACAAGACGTCATACGATTTAGCAGCAAATAATTGCAAAATAAATAAATTACAATTATAACCAGTGCCGATGAACAAACTCGCTTACATATGTACCATAGGCAATCCAGCAATGAATAAAAACCGTTGAAGTTAGTTGCGTACACAGTTAAAGCTGAAGAAAATAGCGTGCGAAGAAAATTAGAAAAACCTAACCTAAAAAATGAAAGTTTGAGCAATGCGTAGTTAAAGTGAGGAAATTTAAGAATTGTTTTATTAACGTTATAACGTACACTATTTTATTTATATTACATATATATATATTTGTATTATACAAATTTACATTAAAAAACATATATGCAGAAAAGTAAAAGTAAAGTAAAGAAGAAACGGTAAATGCAGTGTAAGTTGAAAAAAAACTGTATTTGTCATAAAAAAATTGTATGTAACAGCAAAATGCAAAAACAACTACAACACAATATTTTATGTAATAATTTCGCATATAATTTTTGTTTTATTTTTATTAATTACCGTTAGTGTTAACAACAATTTTACTTTCCTACAAACTGTCACAATTCGGGTTGATGTTGTCTCAAGGCTAACGCAGCAACAATAATAATTAAATATGTATTAAAAAAAAAAAGAGAAACAGTTAAAACAAAATTTTGTGTTTGTATGTGCTGCATTTAGTTGGAACCCTGTAAAAAGTAAATACCATATTTTGTATGTATTGTATGCCTCGAAAATAGCTACTTTACTTTTAGAACAAACTGTAACAGCGCAAACTGCAATTTTGTTGCATTCATAACGCTCATAATTTATTTATCATTTATTTGTATTTGTATTTGTTATTTTTATTGCCCAGTTGGTTGTGTATTTTGTAAAAAGGCTTACAACAACAACACAACAATGTTACTACTATAAGCCTTGTAAATGTGCTTATGCAAATAGGCATAGTCAAAATAGTGAGGTTAAATTCGAATATATGCTACTTAGCTCCATACATACATACATACATCAAGCTGCATTGCTTTTATTTATAATTTACAATTTACCACTCTGTTTTACGAGTTTACGTTAAACTTTTACACACTTACGACTACTATGTAACTGCTAATGTCTTTATTATTTATAGGTTAAATGACAATTTAATTTAAGCGCTTAATTTTATTTTATTTTATTGTACATTTTTGTTGTAAAGCTGTCGACAACCAACCGACTGGGTAGCTTACATGTTTTCACACTTATTTAATTGTTCGGAAAACCGATGCCTTTCTACAAAGGGTCCAGTACAGCAGCCATAATAAGCTCCAGCTTACAGCAGAGGTAGCAGCGCTGCATTGTAAATTGTGCACCAGTCAAGAATGTTTGTGTAAAAGCGCGCAGCTTCAAACTCTATTAGTCCTATGCATATTACTTATACTACAACAACAACTACAAATACTATTATAATATAAATTATTACTGCTACTCCGCTACACTACTTATTGTTGAAGTATGTGTGTGTGTAATGTAATGTAATGTTAATGTTTTTTTTTCTTTCTAGATAAATATTATCTTTGTCTTACATTTTAAATATTTTTATAATTTAAAAACTATTGTACAAGTTATTACAAGCATATATAATACGTACTCAACATACATGCATACTTAATAGCAACACAAAACACGACAACAAAAAAATAACATAAAAACCAAGAAAATTAAGCAAAAATATGGAAACTTAACAATAACAACAACAAAAAATACTTTTTTTCAACGAATATCTAAACTAAAATGCGTTAAGTGCAAGAACAAGAGAGTAAACAATAATACAGAATTTAAGTAAACAGTTTAACTTAATTAAATCGTTTAATTTTTATTCAAAAAAAAAACATACTATATTGTTTTATTTGCTTTATATAACTAGTATAATTTAGTTTCAAATACACGAAAACAGTTCGAAGTTATAAAAAAACAAATGATTGCTACAATAGCAAATTGCATTGCTAGACGACAGACTTAACTCTTGACTAGCCTAGTACACAGCATTTTGCGTTTTTAAAACCAACTTTTTTGCAAAATTTTCTAATTTTTGCTTCTTAAAGCAGGTCTCTCCATATTCTAAGCGAATTTTACCCAACACAGCGCTCCAATTTTGTGGCCCCCAATAAACAATAAGCAGGGCAGAATTCTGTTCTTTTATTTGATACCTGTTTCGGTTGAGATTTGCCTGACTCATGCTTAAAAAACGTTTTAGTTAACCCAAATGCAGACAAAAATTTGATTTAGCCGGCACACAAACCCCACCTGCTGGCATGAGACTTGTCGCGTTTACATTTTTGCCTATTGGCAGCAGCAGAGAATGTTAATGAATAGAGAAGGAGCAAATGTTAAATCAAATCGTTTTGAGTACTAATTTGTAATTCCAGATGAGGTAACATCGAAAAATGAATGGCAATTTTATATAATAATTTAATGCCATATATCGTGCATAATATGAAAATATGTGAAATATTATTTTATCTCGCTAATAGATCATGTTGCCAATTCTCCTTTCTGAAGGGAACATCAGACAAATTCTTCAATTTCTGATTTTTACCATCGTCGTGAGGAAGCAGCTTGTGGGCAACATGCAAATGCGAGGGGATTATGGTAGGAAGGATATTCAGTGGTGGCGCGCATGTGCGGTAGGAATTCTATATGAAAACCAAATGTGGTTTACCAGGCGCACAGAAAAAATAGTGCGACGCGGAGTTATGAGCGAACGCACTTTGCTTTGAAGCAGACGAACGTTCCTTATGAATGAATTTGTTGTCGTTGTAATATGAAATACTTAGAAAATAAGGGCGAGTTTGTTTGAATCAAAGGAATGAAGGAAGGCAATTTCAAGAATATTCACATATAAATTGAACATTTGAAGCAAGTAAACGACAATAGCTGTTTGAGTTAACAGATTAGACACATTTGCTTGAATATCGTCTGCGGTGCTGTTTGTATAGCACACTTTCTTATTGCAACGTGAAATATTTTGCCTAAGTTCAAATCCTATCACATATATTTTTATATACTCTTTTTTTGGGTTTGTAACCCTTTGATTAAATGATATTTTAATTCTGTTTTCATATCATTTCCCTCAATGTTTATATTTTCTTGTCATCTGTGCATGTGTATGTATGTACATTTTGCTTGGTTCCCTTATAGAGTGGTGTAGTTCGTTGGGTACCTTGATAGGGAGGTGAAATTTTATTTTCGAACTTGCGCGTTTTCGATGTTCCCTCATAGCAATTTACATTTTAGCACATTTAACATGACATTTGCGCCTTCTCTGTTCATTAACATTCTCTGCTATTGGGACCAGGCGCGCAGAAGCAAAGAACAGAGAATGTTAATAATTAACATTTATCTGGTAGGTGGCTGCTGCAAAAAAATGTTGAAAGTTGTAGCATGCTTTTAGGCGCTACATGAAATGTGCGCGGTTTTTGTTCGTGCTGTACTTCTTAGTACATTACTATATACGTTCAGATATTCAAGCATAACTTGCGTTTTACTGCACCGATTTTGCTGATTTTGACGCTAAATTAAAATGACGGCGGTACAAATTAATTTAGAATATTAACAATAATTTTTACCTCAGTTGCAGTGTTTTTTGTGAAATTAACCGGAAACAATAAAAGCAGAGCAAATATGAATTTTGTTTTCTTAAACTTACCCATTTTTAAATGAAACAACACTCCATAATTTTAATTTTAATAGAGCTGATCTAAAACTAATTTGAAGACATACTTACTGTGACATTAAAGCATTGCCGTATTCCATTACGTATGTTACATAGCATGATAACAGTTATATACAAGTATTCCAAAGCCAAATATATTGGCTGCTTATAGGGCTGCAAGAATTCTAAATAAAGACTATATTTAGTTATGCCTGCTTTTTGTTCGTATAATGTTGATGGAAAGACCATCGTGAGCGAACCTTATTAATTAAATATGCACTGGGTATTCTATATCTATCATATACTGATATATAGTCATCGAGCTTTTCCACGTCTCTTCACACAGCTGAAGCTGAGTGAGGTATTGTTGTGTCAGAAATATTCGAAGCGGTCGCTATTAGAAAAACAAAAATGGACTTCCATAGCTAAAATATGGTAAATATGTGTCAGTTAGAGCTATACTGCTGTTATTATTGTTTTCAAGAAATATCCCTTACATATGTGAATACGTATTACATATGTGAAACATTATATATTTTTGGTATTCGCGAAATTTAGTATAAATTAAATAACAGAGTGCAAAAACAATTGAATTAATTTATTATTATATTTTATGTTAATTTTCTATATATTTTTTTATCTTATTTTATAATCCTTTTTTTACAGTGATATTTTTCTAAATTCAGATTTGCAAAAATATTGGCTTGCACTTCTCACAAACAACAAGAAAAATCATTACATACATAGTATATACATATACTGTAGGTATATAGCATATGCACATACAAACAGTAGTGTGAATTGGCACTCGGAGTAAAGTTGCGTATACGCAGTGTTGATCACGCTTTACCATATAAGCGAACCTCACGTACAGCATACCATGAGCTATTTACTCCATAACATATGAGGAGAAAAAGTAAAAATCATTTAAAATATGTTATTTCAGGGCAAGCAAAATTTGCTTTCTTCGAAGAGCCTACAAAAACTACTAGATGATTGATCCTTACACAAAAACTGATTTAGGTCACATTTAAAAAAATATCAATTACACCACTCAACACCAATGTAAATATAAATATTTTATATGTGATTGAGATGTTTGAAACATCAGCTTTCAAGCCATGCGAAATCGATTCATCTTGGCATCTTGCTACGAAAGTATAAAAATGAGGCTAGGCTGATAATGAATTAGCAGTACTGTAAGGTGTACAACGGCAAATTTCTCTCAACCAAGCCTATAATCTGTACAGCGCAGTAGAAATATTACTACGTGCAAAATTTAAAAGTCTAAAACAACAAAGAAGACGAGAGCAGTCGTGTGCCCATATATCTATGATAGCTGTTTCCTGAGGAAATTACGAACTTCAATATCAATATTTATAAATTTTGATTTAGAATTGCTGAGCATTTTTGGGGAACATACATAACACACGTTTCAAATACTTTTATAAAAATTATTTCAAAATTATGTTTTTTGGTTAAGCATTATGAAAGTTTATTTCGAGTACACAGATCCGAAATCAATACCTGCGACCACTAACAAGCCCGGAAAGCTGCATACATGCTAGTATATAACAACAAATGAACTAATAAACTATGCATACAATTCTTATGAAAAATTCAAATATACATTATGTAGCGAAAAATTCAAGTATAGTGTAAAAAATTATGGGCATTGTACCAGAAAGAAACGAAGAAGTAAATGCAAATGAGAACTTAAATGAAAAAAATAAAATAAATAAAAAAGGGAAAATTATTTATTAAAAAAAAGTAACTAGAAACGAATTCCAAACTAAATTGATTAAAGACATAAATATGTATATGTATACATATGGCATATAGTAGAAATGTGCATAAGTAGGCAACTTTGATTCTATTACGAGAAATGCTGAATAAAAAATTATGAAACATTTAATAATGACCAAAAAGGCAACCAAAACTTCAGAAATAGTTATCTAAACCACGTGCTTAGATCAGACTCCAACATAAAAAATATAAACTCTTAAAGTAAAAAAAAAAACTTTTTGATAACAAAAACCTATGAATATTTATAAAATAATTCTCCATAACATAAATACCATTTGTTTCTTTATTTTTGACTACATACAAAGAACTATGCGCCGCTTTCAAATACATCTTGGAATATCCCTCATTCACTCTAGCACTCCCTCTCAGCCTCACTCTCACACTTTCTCAGCTAAAACAAATAAATTCATATCTTATCAAATAACTACAGAGCTGAGAAAAAAGCTGCAGCCTTTTTAAATTGTTCAGATGAATAAAACGGATTAATTTAGACACGTCTACCTGGATTTTCGTTCGAAAAGACAATGACTATAACAAAAAATAAAAGTGATGGCCAATCTAAAGTAACTATATGGTTTTCTTGTTCCCATTGATTACAGAGTCTGTTCCTATGTATCTGATCATTGTCTTCCTACAGTAACGAATCATGATTATTTTTACCGTGAAACATTTCAGCGGACTTCAGTAAAAACTCATTTTACAATTTTAACGGTGTTCAGGTTTTCTGTAAGGCACCTGAAAACTCCAAATCCCTTAGCAGAGAAGCATCCATAAACATGCACTTTTGGTGCTTAACACTTCTTTGAGTAAATGTTTGTAATTTTCTTTGACAAACACTTCTCAAGCGGTTGAATAATATAAAAGTTGACTCATCTGTAAATATTGCATTGCTCCAATCACGGTCGATGTTCTCCTACGCACAGTGCAACCTTGTCTCAATATGTGTTTTTTAAAGTGCTGTTTCTTCTCAAGAAGGAGAACCATAGCTTTGTCCTCACTTTTAGATGTCACGTGGTTCCTCCTGGTTGGTTATCTACATTTCCACGTTCTACCGTGAGACCATCTCTTCACAAATGTACAACTCGTATTTCAATATTTTGCGGTTTTTTTTAATAGTTCAGTTAGGAAATTTAGGATGCTTCGTTAGAAAAACTGCTTCAAATGGTTTTTATGCTGGGTCCCCTATTTTTTATTTCACGGCACGACGCAAGACATTAAGAATATTGGAAAACTGACCGCATTGTACGCATCAGCAATCGCAATTGATTATTTGCTAATTTGCAAAAAAAAAAAATAAAATAAAATAAAAACAGTTTTCCACGAATTGATCACTCAAAGGAACGACGTCGTTATTTTTTAAATACACTGCCATGGCGGACTATTCGTTTTCCAATTGCAGCAAGTCGTCTTGAAGCAATTAAGGGACACAGCTAGTGTCCAAGTTTTTCCAAATTTCAATGGGAGATACTTTTAAAAATAACATACAAAAATGTTAAAAAAAAATATCTGATTAAGTTTTTGAGTTACAGCCTTCTAAAGAGAAGCCGCTTAGCTCCATAAGTTTATCTTTAAACGCGTTTTTCTTAAAGAATAATTTCGCGAAGACAAATTATCCGATAAGTATCGAATTTTATTGGGTGAAATTAATTTTTGTTTTTAAACGCCGCCATTGTGTCAGTTTTTGATTTTTTTATGCCGTAGGTCATTGTACGCACAGTGTCTTTTAGTAGACAATTTTTATTTAGATTTCATCCACTGCGTAGCCGGAATCACTGCAGCAGTGCAGGTTCTTACTTTTTCAGCGTAGTCAACAAAACCATCGCGTGTAACTCGAAAAATATTTAATTTTTTCCCCAAAAAATTTACTGTGTATTCTTAAAATATGTGTTAAAGGAGTCCCACGCATAAATTACCATAAATGGATTTAATTTTTTTTCATTGAGGTAAACTACTGACTTTTTCTCAATATTTTCAATTATAAAGATTTACCATTCTCAAAATAACATACATATGTATGTAAGAGATTTCTACATATTGGACCACTACTTATATGACCTTGAAAAATGACAAATATGTTTCGTAGTTTTTATTTTCTAGCGTTGGTGGAGTCGTAGTAATATTACTTTTTATGGCCATCAGCCTTCAGCTGACAAAGTCAAACCGGGAGATGTATTTTTGACACGATAAAGCATTTAAGCAAAATTCAGCAAATTATGGAAATATAGATAGCGACCAAGACCTAGACGTATAGGTCTCTAAAATTATAGTATAATGTCTAGGCACACTCGACAACTGGGATTCCCCATTCCAGTCGAGCAAATACCCGGAAAATTTATAAAAACCTATAAATAATACAATTATTATTATTTTATTCATTATTTTATCCATTATTTTTACGTTATATAACTATAGTGAGTACAACTCCGCAGTAGCTTAACCCTAATATACATTTTGAAATATGTATTATCCCTCATACAATTTCAGCCTCTCTCCCCATCATATAAACACATGCGCACATACATTCACGCACACACACACACACACACACACAAAATGTCATCCGCTTTAATCGTTTACCATTAGCAAACGCGTTTCATCAAAATGTGCCTTTTCAGTTATTGTTGTTGTTATCAGCAGTTCAAAAATAAATATGCATTAAATCACAAAATCCAACAGGAACAAAAGGAATAAACTAAAAAAAAAACTATAAATACATACATACATGTACATGTATGTGTGTATGTATGTATATAAAGTAGAACAATACAATGGCAAACTATGAAAAGCAAACAGTGAATTGATTAGCCTATGAGAAATGCATTCACGCGCATGCTTAAATAATACATTTAAATATTTATACATATGTACGAATATACATATGTACATATGTAGCGAATGTACATACTTAGATCAAGTTAGCATTGCAAATGGCACGCAGTTGAAAAAAAGCTAAGCAAAATTCAATAAAGGCATTGAAAATTATAAATAAAATAAAAATAATAAAGGAAATATGTAAAGAACGAAATATAAAATAAAATGAAAATATTCCCGTTGTAATAATCATTTTCCGTTATTCACGCTGTCGCTAAACCTTCATGTCCATAAAACCTTCAAATTATTATTCGACATCAGCTGATCCTCGTGAATAAACTGGGAGTAAACGCGTAAGCGACGAATGTAGAGTTCATGACTACTAAGCGGTAGGATAGGACCGTAAGAACTTGTACAAGGTGGTCCTATATATATTTTATAAGATTAAACTCTTATATCGTATATTTAAGCCGGATTTCAGTAACCTCAAGCACAAAATGTGTCCACAACATAAACTAAAAACTTAAATAAACTTTCAAACTCAATCGATTAACAACATGTTTCCCTCGTATCCAAAATCTTCGAAACAGCGCGTTTCTTGGAACTAATTTTCATCTAATGTGAACTACCGATTATTGGTTCCTACATAAAGAGCAGTCAACGTAAAATTTCAATATTTAGAAGGATGTATCCAGTACTGTTTTGAAGACAGCTACCCCGAGTTGTATAATAGCTCTATTTACGAAGTAGTTTGGCAAACGATGATAAACTTTTGTTTGTTCATCAGGCATGAAATAGTTTCTTGTCAGCATTTCACAGATGAACTGAAGCTGAGGAACTCAACTTTTGTATTTTCTATACAATACTCTTATTAAAAGCAACCATAGGAGATGACACAAGACCAAACATTTAAAAAAAATTTTAGTATCATTTGAAGTTTCAAAACTCGACTTTTATTTAATAGTTTTCTCTAAATCTTACTCAGGCTACGATATAACTGCTTAGCAGAATAAAAAGTAAAATATTTTTCTTCATTTTAAATAAAAAGCTTCACGAGGTGATGTGTAGGATTTTCGCCATTTTAGACGATCAAAAACGGAATAATGCAACGGAGCAGTGTATCTGTTCAATAGTTTGAATGGGAAAGGCATTGAAGCAATATCGTTTTAATATTTATAACTTATCTATTAGTCGACGTATGCAGTGATTTTTTGAACATGCGGATTTAGCTATGGTGAATTAAGCAATTTCTTATACAATAGCAGTTTATCAATCAATAATATTAATCATTAAAAAATTTCGTACCCAGATATGTACAAGAATATCCCTTTTACCCACCTCAGCAAGCTAAATGCACAAACACGTTTTAAAACTCAATTACTGGATTGTTACTTTTTGCGAAAAATATTTAGTATCTATAGAATGTAAAATAATTTTTTTTGTAAAAAAACTTAAAACTTAAAATTTTGAATTGACTTCAAAACCCGGTAATTAGGATTAAAAACCTGCTTTGAAAAATTGTACATAATTTAAATTTTAAAAATTTATTTCCACAGAATATGAAATGTGAATAAATGATATATTTTTTAAGGACCCATGGTAATTTGATAAAATCGTGACTTGAATACAGTTATTTTTTTTACAATGAAGCGTTACGGTTCCAATAGTAATATAATAGTCAGACAGAGACTTGCCTAAATATTTGTTTAAGTCGAATTTTACGATTTTTAAAATGTATTTTCTTCCGAGACAACCAAGATTCCGTGATTAATTGACTATGTGCAACAAAAATTTATATGCTTTCAGTTGCTGTCAAACATTGTACTTCACAGACATTAACGATTAAGCAAATTTCTTGCAATATCAATCGGGCAAAGGCTGATTTGGTATTGAGAACACCCAAAATATGAGCCTTTCATTGATTATTCTCCCTAAACAGGGTATATTAAGTTTGACACGGAATTTGTAACACCCAAAAGAAAACGTCGGAGACTATATAAAGTTATATGTACAAATGATCAACGTGACGAGCTGAGCTGATTTAGCAATGTCCATCCGTCTATATATAACAAAAAACTGTTCATTTGTCGGAACTGACATCGGACAACTTTAGCGTATAACTGACATACAAACTGATCGATCGAAATCCAATCCTTGTATGGAAAGCATTGAAAGATATCGTGACTTATTCAAAAAATAAATACATCAAATAAAATGGGTCAAATACCTGTCAAAACTCCCTCGTCTTTTGATATTCATATATTAATAAACATTTATAAATTTATTTAAAAAAAAAAATGGGTTTTTAAATCCAAGGCCGGCTTTTGGGTTTCAAATTATAACTGAAGAGGAAAGAGTCTATCTCCTGTTATTCGTCAAAACACACCTACAATCTCACAAAACAATTTCTCACTTGTCAACCAAGTAATTTAATTAGATTTTGTGTTAAGAACTATTTACTCGATTTGTTTTTGAAAAATAATTAGGATAATTAAAGAAATATACAGGCTGACTACAATGAAATCAGCAAAGAAATAACTAGAAAATTTAAAACACAACCTAAAAATTGTTAAAACTATTTTTAAGCAAATAGAAAACGGTAAAAATTTACGATAATTATGAAAACTTGAAATCTAAAATTAAATAAATATTTAAAGATAAAATAATAATTATACACAATAAGAAACTAAAAAGAAACACGAAAAAATACAATTATGTAATGTTAAATTTTGTTAGTACACCTGAATTGAAAATATATATACATTGAAAAAATATATAAATTGAAATAAAAACGCAACTATTCAATCGAAAGCAAAAGGGTAAATATTTATATAAAATAAGTATATAAAAAATATTTTAAAACAAATTTAAAAGATTATAAACACATTCGACATGCGATCTTATTGTACTATCATAGATAAAAAACAAAAAAACAAAAGCAGAGATATAAAAATTTTGATTAAGCGAATGGAGTACAGTGGTATGTTTCACCCTTAAAACCAAAAATAATAAACTAAAAAAGCAAATGAATTAAATAAAATAAAATGTAACTGTTCAATCGATATACTAAAAAAATATATATACGCGTAAAAATGGAAAACTTTCAAATTTCTTTATTAATAATAAAGTTTCTGTATTGATTTTGACTGATTTCGAGGTTATATAACACTTTCGAAGTAAGGACGTCGTAGATAGTCGGTTAGATTCGTAAGCAATCGATTGACGCGTATTTATAGTCGGCCAACCGAAATACTGGCAGAATGGTAACATTGAAAGGTGGATGAAAGCAAAGATGAAGAGAAAATTTGGAGACAATAAGAAAAACAAGTTGACGACCTTCCACTAACGATAACATCGCGAACAAATTGTAGATATACAATCGTAATTTATACTAAGTGTTAATGTAGTGTTACATATTGGATAGCCCCCTTGTTAGAAGCTTAACCCCAAGTTGCTATATTCGGGTATCAACTTGCAGATATTTTCTAGTATATTAGCCTTTGTGACTGTAATTTTTATACCGTTCTCAGATAAAATCCGCAAAGCACTGCTCCAGGGCGGCAATAGACAAATGCTTTGAGGTTAGAGTAAGATAGTTTGGTCGTTGTTATGCCATCATAAAAGGTTGAAGGAGAGGTAGAAAAGGTGAAAGTGTGGAAATGATAGCGAAAATATGATACAAAACTTTATATAGGCGATTAATAACACGAAATCTCAAGGTGTTGTTTTTGCAGCGGCAGAAAGTGTTAATCAAATAATTTTGAGGATTGCTGCCTAGTTGACAGTCCTCGGCCGGAAATAATTCCGGATCCGTTACGGTTGCGTATACCCGGGTAACTTGGGTAAAACAACTGAAAACAGTAATCACACCCATCAATAACTAATTTTCAACTTAATGTGCGATAACCGGTTAAAATCCAAACCATAACTTGAATTTGATTAACACATGAAACACTTGCGGGACAGATCTTGTTTAGAAGACTTAGACGTTTTCGCATTTTTAAGCGATTCTAATGTTTTATAATAAACCTAGAAGTCTAGAAGCATTCTAGCCTTGCTGTAAGTCATTAGTAAAGCTATTTGAGGAATATTGTATACTGCTACAAAAACATAATCATAGTAAATTTGTATATAATGAGAAATTTTGTTATTGAAAGTCTGTTTTCGACAAAAATGTTCCAAATCATACGATATGATTATGTTTCTAACCAAACCAACGAACTCGTCACGCTGATCACTTATATACAGGGGCGAGCAAAACCGTTCGGATGTTCGTCACTGTTGCATTCTAAATACTGTAAAATTTTTCCATATATTTTTATTAATTTATCGTACAATGTAAGTAATAATTTAAATAAAATTTCATTCTAGAAAACAAAAGAGAAATACAACAAAAACTGAAACAAACTCATAATGTACAGTTTTGCTCGTAAAAAGTAAATGTCTATAATTACATTATTTAATATTTGGAAAAAAAACCTTTGTGTTTAATCACATTTTCTAGACGTCTCGGCATACTTTCAACTAAAATTTCTATTATAACAATCTCTTCCTCTAGATAAACACTCTTGCCCATAAAGTCCGAATCCGGGTCCGTTCCGGTTACGTAGACCCGACTGTTGTGGGAACGGACGCTAATAGTACTGTTTGCCATCCGAGTGATTTCCGTTACATCCAACCAGATAACCTTTTCCCAGTGTTCCGTGGACCAATTTGTATGTATTTTAAAAATCTTTAGACGCATCTTTACATTTTTATTAAATAGAGCAGGCTTGCATATCGAAGGCGACAAAATAAATATTGATGAATATTAAAAAAATTTCGTTTTATTTACAATTTCCGGAAACTTTCTGGTCTTAATGTATTCTCTTTAATTGAAGAGCTCCCTGAGCGGTACATTCACTGACAGTTTAAATTTATGGCGATTACAGCCTGCTACGGTGTTCTATTATCCGCTTTAGTGAGTCTTCTCTCTATTTGCCTGACATCAGCGTTTGTTTACAATCGTGGGCGACCTCCTACGTTCGGGAAACCAACTACATTGCATTGTTTTCTTAACATAACTGACTAGCAATTTTACGGATCGAAAAGCCATTTTTTGTCAAATAACCAACATTTACTTACTGTACGGGTTTCTTTTAGTGTTAGTAGGACTATCCTTTCGTTTTAGTTGCTAAAATTTTATGAGTATTAGAATTTCATTGTACATCGGACAAAGAACCTGATTTCATGGCAAACTTAATATACTTTGTTCAGGGCATAAAAATTTTCCCAATTATGGATTATTCAACTTCATACAAAATCATCTATAACTGTTTAGGAACTTATCTTTGCAATATTGAAAAAATGCATAAGTAAATGTTCCTAACCTCAAAAACATGTTTTTGAATTAAAACAATTCACTTTCAGGGGATATTAAAAATATTTTTTGTTTTCATTTTATATAATATATTTGAGTTTTGTTGGTTAACGTGCTTGTTCACCTGTCACAAGCAGGTGCTAATTTGTAATGGTTGAGCTTAAACTATTGTTTTGTTAGGATTTTTGTTTACCTACAGACTAAAGGCTTACTTAGCTAAATAAAGAACGAATAATAAATGATTTATACAGACTTCAATAATACGTTCTCGAATAATACAAACATCAATGCGTACATACATATATTACACTTATAGAGTAGGATTGTATAAAAAAAATGATGTCCACAAACCGAACAAGGGAAATGGCAAACAAGTAACAATATTCTTATGTTTAAACTTAGTTAGTAATTAATTAATTTGTAATTTGATGTACAGCGTGTGGTCATCCTCTCTACTTACATTACAAAGTGGAAGCCAACTTATATAACAACCCGTTATATGAATTGCAAATGTGTTCAAATACTCGAGATTTATGTTTAAATTGCTACACTCGTAAGGAGATATAACCAAAAATTTCAGCTTAAAGAGAATGTTGGAAAAGAGTTCTTGGGTGAATGGGGAAAAAGATCGAATTTCGTAATTTCAAGAAGCGCTTCAACTAAACATCAGTGTTTTGCATCAATTGAGTGTAGCTTTAGCGTAAATCACAACGTCAGCTTAAAAACTACGAATATATATACATTAGACGATATATATATATATACATATAAATATATATAGCTTTATTGTAAAGGGAGGAGGAAAAAACTAAGTATAGGTATATAATATATGGTGTGATGATCATAAAAATAAAATCATTTTGAGTATATAAATTAAAGCACAAATTAATGTTATTAAAACTATTTTACTTAAAGTAAATAATTGTGAGTGAGAAATGAATACATATATTCCCTTCTTTTGTATATATATGTGTATGTATATAAATACGTGTAAAAGTGAGGATGCAGATGTTCATGCTTCGACCTCAGGACTGGGCGAAAACTCATAAAATTAAGAGAGAAATGAAAAATTATGGGAACGGAAATGTAAAAGGTCGACAATTTTTCACTTATAGATTATTGGTGTTGGTACTATAACTAACTAATATCTATGTATGTATATAGTTTGGTCAGATCTGTAAGAGCTGCGAACGGCCTGGCACAACAGCCAGTCATTAGCAGACCTTAAATTCAGCGTATGAAATTATATAAATTTTGCATATTGGCTTTAATCCTTGTCCTGGCTTTGCATTAAGGCAGTAATCTCTTGAAATTTATGCATATAATCGACGCTGCTTTCGCTTATCACCGACAAATTCGACGAGGGATCCTGAGAGTTAAAGTATACGCATATAAAATGGGCTTTTTTTGTTATAGGAAAAAAGTGGTTTCGCACTTACCAAAATATCACGAGTTGCATTGATCTCATCCAAATGCCCCAGCAGACTGGTTAGGGAGAAATCATTGATGTTCTCTTCAAGCCAACGCGAATTCGACGTGGACTCTCGCAGTAAATGTGTGGGGGTCATACCGTTGAGCGAGCTGGTATCTGTCGAAAGGCATATATTGTTTAGTTTTATAATTTTTTGTGGATGAATTATATAGTTTGTCAGTATAACAGTTTTGTTCATTTAACGGTTTTATATATTACCTTCAAATTATTTATATAAATATTTAGGCTTATCTACAAGTATACTAATATTATAAAAAGCAAAGATTTAATTGTTGGTTTGTTTGAATTGAATGGGCTCCAAACTTTCACCGTTGGGAAGCTACACTATCTGTGGTCATACAGCCAATGGTATAATTTTTTTAAAAAGTTAGGAATCCTTGCTATAACGCCAATAATATAACCCAAGGTGTAAAAAATTAGCGTGCGCTGCGAATACATACAATTGGTTATAGAAGAAAATAATGTACTTTGCAGAACATATAATTATCAAATGCCACAAAAAATGTACACATAAGCTATGTTGACCTATTATAGTTACGTTACAATAACTATTCTCTTATTTAGTGCTCTTTATTTGTTTACCTTGGTATTAATCCTTATCAAAATTAATCACTTTATATTCAAGACTAATTCAATATCTTTATATAACTTTTTGAATTATTCGATTCGGACATTCCACGAATATGAGGTCCTCTTTCCCCAAGTGGCATGGCAAATGGAGTGATCTGCTAGTACCAAATATTTTTGAGGAGAAAATGACATGTGCGAAATTTCATATCGATATCTCCAAAACTGAGGGACTAATTCGCGTAAATACAAACAGACGGGCATGTCTAAATATAAACGTTAGAGGGGCTCCGACGGTTTTTTTTCAGATATTGCGACCAACGTTGCCCGACTTGTTCCGAAGATTGGAGCAGTAGCCGCCATTTTGTTGCAAAATTCCCTTTCTTTTTTACTGGCTTAACCTCATAATAAAACTCCATAACAATGTCGTGTGGTATTACGAATGGGCGAAATCGGAGCATTATCACGCCAATCTATCACAGCTAAGTACGGTGAGTAATTTTTTCTGACAAAAATTGGCTAATAACCACACTCACCTCCGACTACTACTGTTTAAATCGATCACAATATGCGATTATTGTAATAAAAAATAATTTAAAAAAAAAAAAGGTTCGCTTCCACCCTAACTTAAGTCTTCCTTAATGTTGTAATGTGAAATGAAAAAAAGTGCTAATAAAAACACAATATCTTTACTTACTTGTAGACTCATCGAAGGCGCTATCGGGAAATGACGACGACAGCGATACATCAGCGTTATCAATAGCAGAAGATTGAAAGAAACGAGCAACAAGATCAGTGTTATTAGTGTTTACATTGTTAGCTGACATTTTATATATTCCGGAAGTTGAAGGGTTATTGTCCACCTGCTCTAAACCACCAGCTGTGTCGCTATCGCTATAACTACTATTTGTAATTGAAATAAATGGTGAGGAATTGCTAATCGTTGGTGGATTATGATGTAGCGGCACTATGGTTGACACTTCCGTCGTTGTCATAGCGGCAGATGCAGGAGACGTAAGAGATTCTGCACATGAACTTTGTTCCACTGTATTAGTTGCAGAGCTTTCACGTGTGTTTTCAATATTTTTAGCTTTCAACACATCGTACGACTGATTAGCCGTGCTGCCACCAGGCAATATCATACGTTGCACCAACACTTGACGCATTGATTGCTTTTGACGTGACACCTGTGAAGTGAACAGAAATGAAAGCAAATTACTGTACTTGAAGAGACAAATATAGATATATTTTGCGCTCACTTACCGGATAGAGTGGTTTGACGCTGTCCATATTGAAAAGTGGCCGTCGTATGGGTGCCACAGGCTGGCGGAAAACATTATTGCTCTCGTTGTTGTTATTGGTTGAAAATGTTTTTGTCGACACATAAGTTTTGGTGGCCAAATTGCGTTCCATCTACAAAAAAATTAATGTATAAATTACAGTGCAAAAAAAGTATTATGTTGCGCGTCACTTACTCTTGATTTTGCTACATTACGCTCGCATGTGTGTCCACAGGAACACTGTCGCTTGCGCATGCGCTCGCTCAGATTGGCTATTAAAAGCAGATGCTTAAGCTTGTTTGCAAAGCCAGCGGTGGAAAGGGATTTCAGCAACCCCGGGTCATCACATTCGCTGGGATTATATGGCATGCCATTTTGTTTTTGCATAAATACTTTTGTATCTGATTGCGTCATAGACTCCAAAGCAGCGCCACCGAAGGTTAAACTGCAGCTACTATTTACATGCATATTATTGACATTAAGCAACGCATTGCTGGTGTTAACGGTATTCACACTTGGTAGCTGCTGCTGTTGTTGTTGTCTGTCAGTCCAATAGTAGTCTAGTTCGAGTTTCGAATCTTGTCCCAGCACAACATAAAGATCGCCGATGGTTATGTCCGCCGCCGTGGAAATAGTCCAGCCTTTTCGTATACGCCGAATCACTGCCTCGCTGATGAGTGGCTTAAAGTTGGACGCACTGGCACGTCCAGCACGCGCATTGACAGGTCGTCGCATACGCGCTTGATTATTGGCAGTGTTTGGGTTTTGATTAAAAGTTGTTGAATTTGCGTTTATTGTTATTGTGATATCACTTGTGTTTAATGATATTTTTACCTCCTCTTGGGAGTTATCAGCACCTTCTTTTATCACTACACTACTGTCCAAATCGGCGTTCAACAACTCTTGCAGTTCATCACTTAATTCATCGCTACTGCTTTCACACTTTCCTGGTAATATGTCCTGTTCGTACATCACTCCAAGTTCATCTTTGAACACAATATCACCAGCAGGAATATCATTATCTAGTTTTTCATATGGTGGACTGTTGAAAAGTTTATTTTTCTTCGAATCAGGCGAACGCTTCTCCGAACCACTTTCGGTGCGTGGTCGTTTATTGGCAGCACGATCTTGTGATAATGTTTCACCACGCACTTTCACGCCCATACGTTCTTCGTATGCGGCCAAACAGATATTGCCACTACCAAGGTACTCCGTGATACTCAACAATGGGCGATGTATAGGCACACCTGGTTTGGGTAAAAAACACATTTCGGGATCTTGAAAGGCTGGCAGACGTTCAGAACTTTCGGCAGACTGCGGACCATTACAATCGCTTGAATGTAAAGTGGGAGTGGGCGCGCAATAGGAAGGAAATAATTTTAATTCTTCTTCTGCCATTTTCTGCTCGGCACTACGCCATTTCATTTGAAACGTTTTGATAAAATTTACCAATTTCTTGTGCAGTGGCACCGTAGTGCGTACACGAGGATTTTGTGCAACGGTTTGAACGCGTCCAAAGGCTTCCATAGTGGCAGGACTGACGATTACCTCGATTTTCGATGGCAATCGTATGTCCTCAAGTGAGTCTGCAATTAAAAAAAAAATGTTAATAATTTTCTAATTACATATGCAAAATAATTTTTAATTCATTCACCATCGAGTTGATTCAGTCTCCTTAACGCCTTACATGATGGTGTCTTAATACGCAGGTTTTTGCCTTTACAACGCACAGTTATGTGACCATGGTAGACAAGATTTCGCAATTTCATGAAGTGTTTATCGGTTACGAATTGAAGTTTCCTTCGCATTTCGCCATAATTGATAAGCGCATATAACTCCTGTGCCGGTTTCTTAACCTCTGTAATGAGGAACAAATTAAATATTATTTTACATATCTATATGCATATGTATGTCAATAAATATTTTCAACAAGGCCACTTACCGTCAGAGAACTTTATATATTTACAAATTTTATGATAGGTCTGGTAATAGTGCTGTCGCACTTGTTCTTTCGTTTTGAATGCACCGTCTGCTGTGCTTCTACGTTTCAGCTTTGTGTTTATATAATTGCCGAGTGCATCAAAATCCTTGCCAAACTCATTTAGCGCATCAAAAAAGTGATTACGTTCTAAATTAGTCCATGTCGGCTTATTGCTGCGTAATTGCGATGGAGTTTTTTGCATTGACTTCTCGTCACGTCGCTGTGGATCGCGTTCATTTGGTGGTGTTAATGGTCGCGTCTGGTCTTGTTTCATTTTTTGTATGACCCGTGCACTAGCACGAGTTCCCGTACAATTATGCATTATCACAGAACCTAGTAACTCACTCACTTCGGAATCCAACTAAAAATCATTTCGAAAAATTCCAAACCAAGTTTAATTTATTCACATCATATAACACATACACATTTCACCAAAGCTTTCATACCTCGGAGCGCGATTTTTCATCGCAATTTGTTGTGGATATAACGCCATTTGGTTTGCGCTCGTTGACATTTTTTCCGCCGCCAACGCTTTTGCCATTGCTTGCTATGGCAAGTGGTACTCTTTCACCGATTCGGATTTGAGTTTCATTGCTTTCCAATAACTCCTCGAATTCATCAATGAATTCTTGACCGGGTGGTACAGTTGTCGTCGTAATCGACAATACCGTCTGATTTTCGTCCCCGCCCAGCGCATTGGCGCTCATTTTCTGTGAAGCCTATTTAAAATAAAACATTTTTTATGAAAATTCCAAAGGTATTTGTTTGTTTGAGCATTTTTTAAACGCCTTTTAAAGAAAACTTCAGTGTAAATTTTCCACACGACAAAGAAATTTTAATTGCGCCCTTTCGACTACGTCGGCACGCTGAATTTTAATGGCAAATAACTTCTCTTAAACTGAAAAGTTTTTCAAATAATTGCTTTTAAAACATTCTAAACACTTTGAATTTTTATTTATTACCAAATTTAATAATTCTCAGGGCAGATTTAATGTAAAACTTTTTGATAAAATTTTACTAAATTCACTTGCGAAAACACGAAGTTGACAACTGACAAAAATGGCGCTCGACTTTCGTTTCGTTAATGGCTTTGCATATTCAGCCTTTTTATTTATTTTTATCGGTCCTTTTATAAAATTTTATTACAAATGCTTTACTATATCATTTTACCTAATCAACCGTCCAAATGTCGCCGTTTTTATGTACAAAATGCATTAATAATTTACACTTTTCACATTGTTTTCATTTATTTGTATATTCTCTTGGTGTTCACAACTCAGTACAAAAATTCTATTCCCCTTTTCTTTCTATTTCTACTACTTCGTTGTTGTTGTTTTGCCTGCATAGGATTTTTGTTTATTGATGCACTTTGCGAAAATACTACCATCTGCTGATTGGGTTGCAGATGATGGAAAAAAATATGTCAATAGGAATTACGGGATTCTGGAGACGGTGATTTTAATCGACGTAATGTTGCCATATCGTCAGTGTTTTAAATAGCATATTTTATCGTGTTGGCCTTTATGTTAGGTGTTAAGAATTGTAGCTCGCTATATCATTTTTATGTATATATGTATATGTATATATATTAATATAAAAATTACACCGGTCAACCAAACCAAAAAAATGTTTTTTGGGTTTCTGTTTTAATGCTCAGATTCTGACTCTAGAAATTGAAAAATCCGGGAAATTTTATTTTTAGCTTTTAAAGTTTGCTTTTACCTGATACGCATGGGACTAATTTGCCCATACAAGCCAAAAAGAAATACGCAAAAAACTTCTACAAAAGCAAACTTTAATTAAAAAAACAAAATTTATTCTTATTTTGGTGTAAGAGAAACTGAAATTTAACATGCAGAAGTCAGACCCAAAAATCGTGTCTATCGGTATTATAAAAACGATAGTTATTGCAGCCAGTATGTTCTAAATCAAACATTTTTTCTCATCAGAGAATAAAATGCGATACCACTCTGTGCTCGGTTTACAAAAACTCAACCGGGCTTATTTATCTGATTCAGTGCTAATTTTTTTTTGATACTAGCTCCTCTTTCGAAATAATTTGCCATACAGTGATTTTCTTGATATTTACCTAGTCTTTTCGACAGAAACTTCATGCAAAAAATCTCTCGTTTGTTGTTGTTGTCTCCTTGGACCATATTTCTAATTATTTCGATAATTGAGCCCATTTCGGAAAATTATAATCTATATACATATATTTATTTTAAAATATCTTTATCTTAGTGACAAACTGAACGATCGTCAACAAGTGCTTGTATGGCAAACTTTTCCATTTGACGAGGTATTTTCACAAAATTAGGCATGGATTATTGTCTAAGGCAACAATGTCATCTTTTCAGAAATAGTTCAGATGAGATCACTATAGCATACAGTTGCCATGCAAACTGAAAGATCGGAATTAAGTTATTGCATGGAAAACATTTTCATTTGACGAGATATCTTCACAAAATATTATTATTGTCTAAAGCAATAACCCAATCCTCGAAGAAATTGATCAGGTCGGATAACTTTAGCATACAGCTGCCAAGCAAACTGAACGAGCGTAATCAAGTTTTTGTAAGGAATCTTTTATATTTGTGATAGTGCAACCGAAGTTAACGTTTTTTCTTGTTTTTATTTGAGGTTGTTATTATAGCAGAAGCCATCGAGGTGTCGAGAAAATATTTATGCATAACCAAAAAGTGGACTAAGAATTAAAATTGCAATCAAATAATTCCGTTGTGGCGAAATAAAAAAATCCCAATTGCCCAATTGGTTATCAACTAATACTTTAATTGACAATTTTCACTAAAATCTGTCTTATATCTATAAAATCGTTCAATAACCAAAGCTTTAAAGAGGGCTTTGTTCCAATATAAGAGTTCAACAATTCACGAAGCAACTGCTCGAAACAATTACATTGCCTTATTTAAGGTAATTACGAATTAAACAAAAAACTTGTGGAGTACTTACTTCTTTCACCAATTAAAACATTTGATTATTTACCATAATATATGTAGTATCCGATAAAAAACAACTTATTTTTTATTTATTCGTTTATTTCAAATTTGCTAAGTAAACTTTCTGTCAAATAAGTGGCAGCACTATAACTAATGCTCCCCACGACGCAACTTATTCACCAACTGCCGGTATTTTTCCTCTTCCTTTGCTAACTGTCAAAAAGTTCCGGTTTGGAACTTCGTTAAAAAGTGAAAAGATTTCGTGCGTTTTGAATTGAATATAAATATATTTGCCTTTAGATCATAAATATATACCAATTAATACTAATACAATTAACACAGCCAATGCGATGCCGATAAGCCAGAACTTCTTCTGCAAAGCAAAAAGAGAAAGGTAAATAACACAAATGCATTGCAACGCTCAATTGTGAGTAACCTTTAAAGCTTTCTTTTTCAGCGATTCTGCTTTTTCCAATTTATGCTGACCTTTATCCACAAAGTGCGTTGCTTGTTGCGCAACAAATTCAACCCGATTTATCGTTTCACTCTGGAATTATACAATAATGTGAATATAGACAAATTGCTGATGTTATTGTTGTTGTACGTACCTGTTCCATTACTAGTGTTTGTATACGCAGGAATAAGGCGTGCACATCTTCAATGGATTTTTCCAGCTTCTTAAGCTCATTGAAACGATCCATTAAGTCACGAAGTGTTCGTCGTTCATTTTCGGTTTCTTCTAGAATCTGTAAACAAAATCCAGTGTAAAATGTTAGTATAAAGCGACAGTGAAAAGGGATAACGAAAAGTGATAGAGATCAGTGTTTGTGTAAAATGACAGTTGGAAGTGTTATTGTAAAGTGCTTGCGGAAAGCGATATTAAAAAGTTATAATAAAAAGTGTTAATTTAAAATATTATTGGAGGGGTAAAATATTAGTGCAAAATGACAGTGAAAAGTGTTAGCGTTAAATGATAATGTAAAGTGTTAGCGTTAAATGATAATGTAAAGTGTTAGTGTAAAGAGTTAATGTAAAATATTAGTGTGTGTGTGAATAAAAAGTTTCTAAATAACTTACATTGCCAACAAAAAGGTTCGTCGTCTTATTTGCTATCAGTTCTTCAATTTCTTCTTCAGTGGAATTGCAGTTCACTAATGGTAAATGAATATTAAAATATTACTTTATCAATCAATTGTTAAAATTTATTATATTCAGAGGTGCAAATAATGCATTGAATTGAAATTAGTTTTTTATTACTGTGCTATCGCGGAAATTAAAAATAATCTTAAACTTTCTAATGCCTGATCCCAAGTTGACCATGTAAGTAAGGCCTAAGTTCGGATGTAACCGAACATTTAATACTCTTGCAACTTGCAAAATCAAAGCCGGCTACCTTCAGGTGTTGGCAATAGTAAAAAATGTAGCGAACTCATTGTTCGACGAAACCGGGAATGGATTACAATCAAATTTAGTATCATATTAACCTTATTTTGAAGGCCATTTACTTCGCGCTACCGAAAATTATACTAAAATTTTTGTAGGCAGAAAAATAAGAGGGCTGATTGCATTAATGTTTGACATTGCGCAGGCATACTTTAGAACTTATTTTCAAGCAATTTTATACATATAATAATATAAACATATATTTAGAGTAAAGTCAGCTAGATGTTTAAAAATCGTGAATATCGGTTATATGGGGAGTTTTCGCTCGATTTTATCTGTTTTAGGCGCGAAGATACACTTTTATTAGAAAACCACGCTCTCTCAATTTCATTAAAATAACTCACATATTGACCGACTTATGCGGTATAAAGTCAACTGGAAGTTCGAAAATCTTTATATTAGGAAGTATTGATCCGATTCAACCTATTTTTGACACAAGGGTATATCATTATCAAGGAAAAGTTTCCCCGAATTTCAATAACATATCTCACAGATTGAGCGATATTTTCGGCAAAAAATGGCCCCAGTGTGTACCACATAATTGAAGTCTGGGTGTTTGAAAAATCATAGTCCAAATTCGACAATTTTTTAGCGTAAGATTAGAGAATGTTAATAAATTTAAATTTAAATTTATTCATTAACATTCTCTGCTATTTGTGCAAAGTTTTATTCGGATATATTGATTGGTTTTGATTTGTATACTGGAATGTGAAGGAATCAGATGGAATTTAAAATTGTGTTATATGGGAAGTACACACAAGTAAGTGGGTTACATATCGAATTTGGTTGAAATTTTTATATATTGATATAAAATATATGATATAGAATTTCAGCTAAATGTGGGCGGTGCCACGCCAATCGTCCAAATTCAACGCTAGATGCCATTAAGCCCTCTCGTACCATCTCGGGTACAAAATTTAATATCTCTGAATCATATAGTTAATAATTTATCGCGCTTTTGTTACTTTTTAACAAATGCGTTATATGTGGTGAGGGCGGGGCTATAATCATATAATATATCAGTAGGGACTCTTAAAGTATTTGTTCTAAGTGAATTTAGATATTGTAGCTTTAGTGGTTGAGCAGATACTAACCTGGTAGAGGGCGGGGCCATGTCCATTTTTTAAAAACTTTTAGCCTATAGGTGCCCTTTGCTACATAACCACATGCTACGCCTGTACCAAATAACAGTGTTATATCTTATTTTAGTGATTAGTTTGTTTATTTTATAGGTTTAAGATGAATGGAGTTTTTTGGCCGTGGCAGTGGCATTATGCCTATATACGAACTCTTCCTTTTTTGTACAAAGTTTCAGCACAATATCTCAATTTTTACTCAAGTTACAGCTTGCATAGACAGACGGACGGACATACACTCACCCGGATTTCAACTCGTCTCATCATCCCGATCATTTATATAAATATATAACCCTAGATCTAACTCGATTATTTTTAGGTGATACAAGCAACCCTTAGGTGAGCAAAAGTATTGTATTATACTCTGTAGCAACATGTTGGATGAGAAAAAAATTGAAATTAAATTTTTAATCCTAAAAATCGGATTGAATTTTATAGTGTTTCACTCAGAAAAAGTTTTTGATAAACTCTTAATTATGTGCTGAAAGAGTCGGTAAGAAAAATTTCTGCGAAACGGCTTGAAATTTTCACACGACCTTCTTAGATATATTTGCCTGGCAATGATAGAAGGACTAGTCAAAATTTCGGCGACCTCCTAAAAAATTCGTTTTTTGAATAAATTTACGCCCAATTTACTGACTCAAAAAATCGAAATTATTATCAAAGATCTTATTCTATATTCATCTATTGCAAACAATTTTTTGGCTACTCCTGGAAATTGGCTTGCAAATGGATAAAACCCCTTAATTCCAATTTTGGGATTAAAAACTAAATTTTCAATTTTAAATTAGAAAATTTGTAACCCTGGTTATATTTATTTTGCTACGTATACTATGTATATACATATATGGTATTTATGACGTTTGTTTTATGTAGTGTGAAACAGCAGCACTTACTGATTTTGGAATGCATTTCCAGATTTTTCTTTAGCTTGCGTTCGTATAATTGCAGGAACTCTTCGTTTCTCGTCCATATTTGTATGTAACTCTGATAGAGACCATAGAAAAGCGTACGTTTCATGCGCGCCTCCAGCGTGAAATCATTCTCAGGCGGCATATTCGCTTTGAATTCTTTGAATTTGTTCATCAGCTGATTACCCATTTTTAAATTCTGCGTGCGTAGTTCATCCATTTCCTTTTCTGTGAGCATTGAAAGTGCAAATGTTGTATATGGTTAGTTGCCATATTATTGGTTTTTATGTTTCATGCAAATACATATGTATGTACATATGTTTTTGTATTACATACCATTGAAATTACGAATATTTATTGTTTGCACCATTCGACTCATTGTCTCTAAATTTGCGGAGATTTGTGCCAACTGTACTCGTATCTCCGAATACTGCATTTAAGGAAAAACATTATTATTAAATAATTGAAAGAAATATTGTTTGAATATGTAATTAGTTTATTAGCTACTAAGTAATGTTTTTATACTCTCGCAACATGCTGCATAGAGTAAAATAGTTTTGTTGTCCTAAAAGTAATCGAGATAGAAATAGGGTTATGTATATATACATGTAAATGATCACGGTGACGAAATGAGTTGAAGCGATAACTTAAGTAAAAATTAAGATATTTTGATAAAGCTTCCTACAGGCGTGTCCTGGCATACAAGGAGGGTTGGTATTGCAGATTGGCGAAATCGGTCTATTGCCACACCCATAAGGTCACTTAACTGCCGTAAAGTGAAAACACATAAAGTGCCTAAGCATTCAATTTAAATACAAAACTGTATTTTGGTACAGAGGATCACAATAGCGAGGGACCCCTGTGCGACAATGCGCGTGGCATCGCCCACCTTTAGGTGAAATCCCATATCTCAGGAACAGAACCAATTTCAATTAAAAGTTACCCAAGCATTTCTATTATACACATGCGGCGAGATCGGATAACAATTACGTCAACTTTGCATATAACAAATTTTTAAATTCCATTTTATTTTTACTTTATAGTATAAAAATCAAGCATCATTGAAGTTATCAGAATAATATTTGCACAAATAGGGCCCTTAAGGTATTTCATCTTACGCCAAAAACTTGTAGAAATCGGACTATGTATATAACTTTTCAAGGATCCAGACACAATATGTGAATTCCAGTGCATATGGCTGATTTTTTCACGAACATATCGGTCAATCTGTGTGGTCTAGTATTTAAGTTCGGGGATAATAGTTTTTTGGGGGCTGCATGCTCTTTTGCAAAAAATCGGGTCAGTAATTCCCTTAACCCCCATATACCTGATATAAATATTTTCGAATTTCCGGTTGACTTTATACCGTACCTATGCCAATGTGTAATAAATTTAAATAAAATTCAGAATAAAGCTAGTACTAATAACAGTGTATCCTCTTACCTAAAATAAATAAAATCAAGGTAATACGTTTATTAGTCCCCATATACTAAATATACGGTTTTTCAAACATCCGCTTTAAGTTTATAACTTACAACGTGTGATCCAAGTAGAGGTATTTTTTTCAGCAGCCCTTTTTTGACATAATGAACGCGTAAGTCATGTCAAGCTGTTACTGTATTGTTTGGCATTTTATCGTGGAAAGACTTACGCCTAAGCAACGTTTACAAATACTATTCGCAACACCTTCATCCATCTTGAAACCCAGTACGCAGTAAAGTAAATTTAGCGGTCGTAGTTGAGAGTGTACACGAAGACCGTGGAGAGTCGATTCGGCTCGGATTGACGTATGGAATGACTTCGCGCATTTTACGTCGAGATCTTATAGATACTTGATATGCTTGAAAGCATACAAAATGCAGCTTGTGGAAGAACTGAAGCCGCTCAACCTCCCCAAGCGACATCGCTTCGCCCTATGGGCTCTTGAAAAGTTCTAAGAAGGTCGGACGGTTTCGAGCCGAACTTTGTTCAGCGATGAGGCCCATTTCCGGCTCAATGGGTGTGTAAACAAGCAAAATTGCTGCATCTGAAGAGATTAAAGAGCTGCCATTTCATCCAGAAAAAACAAAGGTTTGGTGCTGTGTGTGAGCCGGTGGAATGATGCCAATGAGAACGTAACCGTCAATGGCGAGCGTTATGCGCCTTGAGCTTGTGATCTCGGCAATGTTTGATTTCAACAATATGGCCCCACTTCCCACACATTGCATCAATCAATGGATTTATTGAGAGAACATTTCGGTGAGCACATAATTTCACGTTTTGGGCCGATCGATTGCCCACCAAGATCGTGTGATACTTTTTCCTATGGAGATATGTGAAGTCTATGCGCACAATCCCGCTTCGATTCAGGCCTTGGAGCAAAACAACACGCGTGTCAGTCGCCAGTTACCAGTCGAAATGCTCGAACGAGTAATCGAAAATTGGACTCCACGGATGAAACATCTGAGACCTCTCCGCAGCCAACATTTGAAAGAGATAATCTTCAAAAACAAAATGCCAAATAATGTTTTTTCGAGTGATAATCAACACTCCCCATTAAATTCTCTGTGTTTTTTTCCTTAAACAATGTGGGAATCTTGAAATGAATAACCCTATATATTGGGAATCTGTGACTTTTGTTAATGAAATTCAATTCAAAAATTTATGGTAATGATATGTCGTAACTCCAAAACTGGATATTTCCTAGTCTTTGATCTTTTCAAAATGTGAGAGTATAAAATGTTCTTTGTTCTAATGCACCTGAAGGTATTTATAAATAGGAATTGTAGTCATCAAACACCGATACATTTTCTATTAATTCATAAAAGTATAAGCCATGTTCGCCTATCCCTCTGTCCGTCTGTCTGTATATACGCGAACTAGTTCCTCAATTTTTGAGCTATCGGTCTGAAATTTCGCACACGCCTTTTTTTCGAAAGATGCTGCTCATTTGTCGCCATCGCAAACTAATCGACCAAAATCAAGTTCTTGTGTAGAAAACTTTTTCATTTGACAAGATATTTGTTTTAAATATCCTTAACGTTACAATATGCGTAAATCTTTTATGTGATTGGTTATTGCTTTAAATAAAGCTGTAATAAATAATAGCTGAAAAAAACTAAAAAAACACGCTTTAAAGGAATTTTTACACGTAAAGTTATTCCCTACCATCTACTTTGTGAAATTTAATGCTTATGGCGCATATGAAAAAGGGCTAAAAGGACTTCCTTACAGCAAATTTAGTTGAGTTAGCTTTAGCGGTTTGGAAGATATATACATTAAACCATTCAGGACACGGGGTTACGCCCACCTTCAAAATAATGGGAAACTGTTATCAAATTATTGCATTGTCATTGGTCCCTGACACGTCTGCAAAGTTTCAAGTTGATCAGACTTCTGGAAACCGATGAAAATTACATTAATAAGTATCAAATTTTGTTATTATTTACTTTCTGATTAATTAAATAGTTCGTTCCTTGCACCTCATATGCTAAATATTGTATTATATCTAAGTTCGAAGCATTTTAGAATATTAATTGAATTTCGAAATGCTAGAAATACCATGGGTTAAAGGTGGCTAATGCTTCTTAGATGGTTTAGTTTTTATGGTCTTCTGTAAAAAAATTTTAATTGTATTAAAAATCGGGCAGGTATCTCTTATAATTTTAATTTAATGAACCATAAAAACCTTAATCATAATTATAACAAAAAGAGAAGAAGAAGAGAAGAAAGCCTTAATAAAATTCGAAGGTCAAAATTGACTTTATACAGGGTTTGCTATTTTGATGTATGTATATATCTATGATTATTCTCTTCACTCTAAAGACTGTGTTAATGGACTTTAAACCGAGAATTACGATCTACAGTAAGATATTTCAATAATATTGATCAACGGTATGAACATAATTCTCAGCCTTTTTCTAAACTGTAAAAATCATGCATGAGTTTAGCAAATTTCCATTTTATGATATTTTATTTCTCTAAAGTGTGTTGGGTATTCAGTTCTGCCTGCGCTCGGGCTTGCACTAATTGTTTTCTATACATTAGTGCCATTTAGCTATCATAAGTACTAAAATCCAAAAGCAAGGCTAGGCTAAAAAAATACTAAAAGCAAAAGTGTCAATGACATATACAAATACATGTAAATGAAATGTCTATGTATGCGTATATCTGTATGTATGTATTAATCTTAAAAGTTTGTTTGTTGGTTCTAATTAACCAATAGGCACCAAGAAAGTTCAAACAAAGCGAATTTTAATCAAGGAAATTAGTTTGTCGTAAACAATTAACTCTTATACATACAAACGTTGACATACATACTTACATTATATTCATATATGTATGCATGTGTGTACATGTTTGTTTATTCACATGATTAACCCCCACACGTGCTCTACATATTTTATTATTTTATTTGTGCACCGATTTTTTTTAGCCAAAAAGTAATCATAAATATACACAAGTAAGGATGTGAGCCGAACATTTTATACACTCACATTACAAAGAAGTAAAAGCTTGTAAATATTTTGAAAAACTATGTAACGTAAATGTTTTTGTAATTCCTGTTGTAGGTAATATGTTAAAATGTCATAGTATTCAAAAAAAAAAGTAATTTCGGTTGTACCGAAGATATGCAGCTTCTGGGGGGACGTGTGTAAAATTTCAGATCGATTCCTCAACAATTGAGGGACTAGTTTGCGTATATAGACAGACGGACAAATCGACTCAGCTCGTCACGCTGATCATTTATACAATATATACATATACCTATATATAATTTATAAATTTCGGAGTGGACCGTAGAAAATTGTGATTTTGACACATTTTCGAAACTTTGTCTCTCGCGTTTGCCGGAGCGTGGATGTTGAAGGTTAAAAATTTATTTCGGACGGAGTTTTTAACGGTCAATTTTCAAATTTATGTACTTTATCATTAAAAACTAAATAGAGACTAAATAAAATATTTCTAAATGTAAAAAATTATTTGTTATAAAAATAAAGGTACATTTCACAATTTACAAAAAAAGTCGAATAAATTTAACATATATCCCATTGGAAAGCTGAGCAAAAATCGTAAACATTATTAGTTATTTTATAATTATATACTTTTCTTCGTGTACGCAAATGTTTAAAGGTACTTTTTCAATCGTTGAAATTTTGAAAATATACGTGTCTACTATTTGGCATCAAAGGACATAAAAAGGTTTCGCACGAAACAAATTTTGAATATAAATGTTGGATAGAATGACCCATATATATGTACTTTTTAGGGCCTGCGACGTTTCATTCGGGGTGTTACAAACTTCGTGCCAAACTTAATATTTCCTGTCCAGAGTATAAAAAGGAAATTAATATTTTCATTATATCAAGTTCTAATTAGGACGGAATACCAATTTCTATTAAGACCAATATACCATCTGATCAAATTTGACCGGAATCAAGAAATTTTATT